CCGCCGCCAACAACGGAAAAATGAAGGCACATGAGATCGGTGAAATCTACCTTGAGGCCAATGACACGAGATTCACCATCCACATCGGAGACGTCCTCGTCACACCTGACCTACAATACAACTTACTCTCGTCAGCTCAACTCATGCGGTGCGGAATCGACATTCGCAGCAATCGCAAGGAGAAAACATTCGAACTCTTCCACAACGAAACTTACATCGGAAAGGCAATCGATGACGATGGAGTCTTCGTGATGCAATTTTCGGCCCAGGGCACCACCGGCGATTCCCACCGCACACTCCTGCTGAAAACAACTCCCACGGAGCCACCTACATGGTCACATCCCGAAGAGATGGATCTAGAGCGACCTGCCTCCGACGGGCTCCTACGCCTACGCACCGTTCCGACTGCCTCAACCTCCAACCCTGCAAAGGCCGAACCTGCCACAAAGGAAGAGGACAGCGGCACGTCAGAACCCACAACACAATTAACCGAAGAAAACAAAACGGCAGAAACGCGCTGGACGGGCTGGAACACTTCCGAACCTGCGCTCGGAACCTGGGGCGAAATTTTAACTCCAGAAGAAGCAGCCGCAAGTGGGTGGAGCGCCGTTTCAACGGCAGAACTTGGCGCGACCGGCTGGGGAACTCCCCCTGCCCCAATAGTGGAAGTTGGCGCCACAGCAGAAGAAGCAATCGGAGAAGCAGAATCGGCCGGAGAAGGATGGGGCACCTCGGCCGCAGCAGAACAAGGGCGCGTTGAGACAGCTGGTTTTCCTCCTGCGGAAGTCGCGGTGATCGATCCATACTGGGCAACTCGCGGCACCTGCTGGGGAGGTCCTCCTCTTCCAGATCAATACGCCCCTGACACACCCAAGCCAATGCTAGAAGAAGAAGAGACCTACGAATTCATGGGAGAACCAACGGAATTACCCGAACCTGCCGAAGAGCCGGAACCGCCAGTACAAGGACCACAGGAAATTGAGGTCATCGGCGCTGAATACACTTTCTTCAGAATTCCCATGACGGGACTCCCAGTTCGGGATTGGCCCAACCAGTGTCTGCTCGTTACCGGAAACCAAGTCGAAGCCGGCGACACCGACGACATCATCGGTATTCCCCGCGCGCTTCTGGAGAGAAAAGCAATTCGCGCACTCGCCGCCGACATCGACAATGCCGCCGACGCAGGACCTGAAGGGGAGGCAAACGACGAAGCAGCACGGCAAAAATATTATCAGAAGACAGTCGGCTATCGCGCGGACCCAGCAACATGGCACCAACGGCTTGGACATCCCTCCCACGCTACGCTAAAAAACTCACTCAAAGCTGGTGTCTTCGACGACGACGCGCTCCTCCTCCCTCGAGATGGTTCCCTCACCGCGGACTCTCCCAATCCGCCGTGCATCGTCTGTCCAACTGCATCACTCAACCACCAACCGTTCCCTGACTTACCTCCGGGGTACGAACGCTACAAGCCGCTTGATAAGGTTTACAGCGACTTCATGGTACTCAGCCAAGAAGGGCTCGAAGGGGAGCAGTACACGCTAACCTTCATTGACGCCTCTACGCGTTACGTCTGGGCCATCAACACCGACTCTAGGTCACTGGCCTTCGAGTGCTTCATTGCGTGGATGAAGCGGGCTGAGCGACAGTCTGGGCGTTTGAAACTCAAAACCTGGCAGACGGACGGAGCCCTGGAGTTCTTCTCAGACGAGTTCAAGGAGCTCTTCAAGCAGAAGGGGATTGAGCACCTGGTGTCCCTGCCCTACGCTCACCAACAACAGGGTGTAGCAGAACGGACAAACAGAAGCCTCGCCACGCGGATGAGAGCCCTAATGAAGCAGTCGGCCATCCCAACTAAATATTGGCCATTTGCGATGAATCACGCTGTTCGGCTGCACAACCTGCTGTCCTCGTGAAGCCTCGAGAATAACAACTCTCCTTACCGGGCATGGACGGGCAGAAAAGCAGATACACGCCTGCTTCGAGTATTTGGCTGCATGGTACAGTACAGACCCCACACTGCAAGAACCGGAAAATTTGCTGACCGAGCACGATGGGGCATCCACCTCGGAATCGAAAAGGAATTCAAGGCGTGGATCGTGCTGGACTACGCGACACACGAGGTGACGAAATCACGTGACTGCATCTTCTACGAGAAGCTGACTCTGCCCCTTTTCAAGGAGCACCAGGAAGCTGACAAGCTGCCCGAGAGGCTCTTCGAGGGCCACCGCAGCTTCGCCACGTCACACGACGAAGCTGACCTGGCCGAGGATGTGGACGCACCCGATATCACCCCCATGGACTCTGCTCCGAACATCCCCCTCACAAGCCGCTTCAAAACTCCAATATTCGTACCTCTACACCAACCCGATCCCGCTGATATAACACGCGAGGCCCATAACTACAACAGCGAAGCGCGCCGATCACCTGATGCCGAGTTACCACAACCCCACACATCGCAGGACACCCTTCGCCTCGGCAACGACAGTGACGACGACGTGGTCGAGGTTACCAGCTTCCACGACTACGACCGCCTTCACTACGAAAAGACTAACGAAACCGGTCTCCGCGTTCTCGGCCTCGCCGTCGCTGTTCGCCACACCTCGCCCAAGGAACCAACCACAGTCCGCCAAGCTCTGTCTGGCCTCGACAGAGACAAATGGAGAGCAGCCATGGCCGCCGAAATCACGTCGTTGAAGAAACGCGGTACCTGGAAGCTGGTCCCTCGGTCATCGGCAAAGGGAAGAAAAATTCTCAGCGGCAAATGGGTTTTCCGCATCAAAACTCTCGCAGACGGCTCGATCGACAAATACAAAGCGCGTTGGGTGGTCCGGGGATTTGAGCAAACACACCTGGTGGATTTCACTCTCACCTACGCTCCAGTCGGCCGTCACACCTCAGTACGCATTCTCATCTGCATCGCCGCCGTCAAACAGCGACCACTCCGGCAAATCGACGTTGGAAGCGCCTTCCTGTACGCTCCCGTCGATGCCATCATCTTCGTCGAGCAGCCGCACGCATTCGAAGAAAACGATGGCGCCGTGTGCCTCCTCCAAAAATCCCTCTACGGAATCAAGCAGGCACCCCGTCTGTGGCAGCAGTATCTCCACTCCGTCCTCATCGAGCTCGGCTTCTTTCAGCTACCACATGACCTCGGCATATACAGGCGAGAATCGCGCGGAAAATTTATCCTACTCGTCGCCTACGTCGACAACCTTCTCTACACCGGCGACGACACGGAACTACTAGACCAATTTGAAGCGGACATCAAGGCGAAGCTGGAGGTGACAGTAAATCACAACGTCACACAGTTTCTCGGCCTCAATGTGACTCAGTCCGCCTCCTCCATTCACCTCTCCGCCGCCAAGTACGCTGAAACCCTCGCAAAGCGATTCGCCATTGCACCAATCAACCTCACTACTCCCTATCGCGTTCCTCCTCCCAACCACGAGCCAGACACCACACCGCTCTCTCCCGACAACCTTCGTCTCTATCAGCAACAGCTAGGATGTCTTCTCTTCGCCGCCGTCACGTGCCGGCCCGATCTCTCCTACGTCGCAAGCCAGCTCGCACAGTACCTGAAGCGACCTGAAGGGGAGAATCTACTGGATCTACGCCGAGCACTGCAGTACTTCATCTCCACTCCCGACGTCGGCCTCACCTACGAAGCCAACTTAACAGCTACCTTGCAGCTACATGGCTACGTAGATGCTGATCATGCAGGAGATGCTGACAATAGACGTTCCCGCACAGGATTCATTTTCCAACTCCAACCTGCTGGACTCATCTCCTGGAACTCTCAGAAGCAAGAACTCATCGCCCTTTCGTCAGCTGAAGCAGAATTCATCGCAGCCAGCGCAGCTGTTCGCGAAGGACTGTACCTAATGGAGCTCCTGCAAGAGGCGAAAGTGACGATGAACGGGTACTTCAAGTTACTCTGCGACAATCAGAGCGCGATAAAGATCGCAAACAAGCCCGGCTTCGTCAACCGCACCAAACACATCGCCCTTCGCTACTTCTTCGTGAAGGACGAAATCGACAAAGGGAGAGTCAAGCTCACGTACTGTCCAACCGGTCACATGGCAGCTGATTTCCTGACTAAGAAACTGCCACGTCAACAGTACCAGCACTGCGCCGACCTCTGCGGGATCACCAAGAAATCCCACGTGGCCCACCTTCAGGAATGAAGGGGAGTGTTGGAATAACCGAAAGGTTATATAAGCATTCCCGAAGCTGTTCCACTGTACCAGTACTGCAATAGCTCATATAGAGCACGCGGAACGTCGAAAGGCACCCGAAGGTCAACCGTCTGAGGAAGTCAACGGTCGTGACCTTTGACGGTCCAGTAACCGCGCGACAGTTAACTCACTACAATCTGTCGAAAATAGCAATGGACACGGTGACTGTAGCACGGTTATTAAGGGAATGTACCCCTCAGAGTACATGGCTAGCTAGATTTCTATTTAATCCTCTTATATTCCTATTTTTCAATCATCTTGTTCTTCCTCAATCATTATTCAACAAGGTCACTACAGAGACTCCATTGTCTCCTCTCGGACTTGACAAATTCTATCCTATCTACTGATTCCTTGGTTATATCAGCAAGATAGACCATGTGGCATGCACTTTGTGCTGTGTCGATTAGAGTTTGGCATAGCACTGTATGCTATGGACACAATCTAGTCATTTAGTTCAATTTACTTCTTGATTGACAGCTGCCGCTTGTTGCTGGCGCGTGGCTGGCAGTGGGCTGGTGGCTAGTGGCGGCGCGAGGGGCGCTCTAAGGGACGGGGGGGAACTAGGGTAGCTAGGGTAGGCAGAAGCGCGGACCTAACCTAACCTACGATGTTACCATGACAGAAATAGAACCAGCAGAATGATGACAACGATAGAATGTGGGATACAGGGGGTACAAGTAGGAAGTCTATGAAAGCCGGCACTGCTCAATCACTTGGCTTGGAACCAGCGTCTCGCCCAGTCACTGACCCAGGCAGGCAGTTTCACTCGCCGTACTCCCACGCCACCTCGGTGACCCCCGCCTCCAGCACGAGGGCGCAGTGCAGCCCCTCCACGCCCAGGTAGTTGCCCGCCGCACATGCCACTCCCACCTGCTCGCGCTTGCTGCGCCGCACACTGGGCTGGCGCAGGCGCTGGCCGTGCATGAATCGCAGCGACAGCTCCACTCGCTCACTCGCCCGCAGCTGCAGCACCACACGGTGCCGGCCGTGCGCCTGCGGCACGGGGCGCGCGGTGAGCGTGGCGTGGAAGGGGGCGAGCAGCGATTGCAGCGATGATGGGTGCGAGGGGATGCCCGGCCACACCTGCAGGATGCGCACACTGTGGCGGAGGGAAGGGGTGGGGGGGAGGGGATGGAGCTGATGTGCAGGAAAGGGGGAAAGGAAAGAATGAAACGGGCCATTATGAGGGCCATGATGTGGGCCATGATGAGGGCCATGATGAGGGCCATGATGAGGGCCATGATGAGGGCCATGATGAGGGCCATGATGAGGGCCATGATGAGGGCCAAGAGTGCAAATGGAAGGAGGCGTGTGCGAGGATGAGGATGATGGGTGGCGAGGATGATGGGTGGTGAGGATGATGGGTGGCGAGGATGATGGGTGGCGAGGATGATGGGTGGCGAGGATGCAGGGCACACCTGCCGATGGTCTTGACGTCGGGGTGCAGCTTGTCGGAGGGCGGCACCAGCGTGTCCACGTCCTCCTCAATACTCTCTATCAGCGCCCCCGCCCGCACGTACAGCGCCGTCTCATGCAGTGGCACCGCCACCTGCACAGCTGCCCCGCCCTGCAGGGGCACACCGTTGGGCGCCCAGAAGTGCACCCACGCGCTGCCCCCAGGCAGGTACACCGTCGCCCGCGTCACCCCTGCCTCGTACACCGGAGCCACCAGCAGGTCCGGACCGAACCTGTACTGCCACTGCCACTGCGGGGAGGCAGCCTCGGGGTCGCCCTCGAAGCAGAGGGGCATGGCGCAGAGGATGGGGTGGCCTGCCGTGGCGCTGGCGAGTGCGGCGGCCTTGAGGTAGGGGAAGAGCGCCATGTGCAGGCGGGCGAAGCGGCGGTAGATGCGCAGCGTGAGGGCATCGTAGTCCCACGGGCCGTTGTTGGCCTGCCCGAACTGATGCATCAGCGGGGACAGGGCGCTGGCAGAGGGGGGGAAAGACAGACGAGGGGTCGGGTGGGGGGGAATAAGTTGTCAGGTTCGCCTGCCCGAACTGATGCGTCAGCAGGGACAGCGCACTGGGGAGACAATGCAGGATGGTGGGGGGTTGGGGAAGAATGGAGACAATAGCTTTGATGCCCGAATCGATGCATCAGCAGGGACAGCGCGCTGGGGGGTGGGGGGAGGACAAGACAGGATAGGGTTCGGGTGGGGAGGTATGGAGTCAACAGCGTTGATGAGTGCCTGAACCGGTGCTTCAGGTGGGGGAGCGCATCGGGGCATAGGGGGGCAGCATGGAGGAGGTGTGGGCCACGGAAAGAAAGCAGGTGTCCTCCATTCGGCTCATTCAGGAGGTTGCAAGGTTGTGCTTGCTTCTATCCATCATCATCTCCTCCTCTTTCATCAGTGTTACATATATAACACCCTTGCTCTTGCTCTTTTTACGGAATAGCAAACAGTAAGAAAAGGTAAGCACATCGGTTCTCACACAATACATGCACAAACGAAACAGTGCAAAACACCATGATGCCCTTGTGCTCATGTGCTCGTGTGCTCGTGCGCTCGTGCGCTCGTGTGCTAGTGTGCTCGTGTGCTCGTGTGCTCGTGTGCTCGTGTGCTCACAAAGAAATTCTTCGTCAACTGCTCTCGTTCCTGCATCCAAGGCCTCTGTCTCAAAAGGCCACCTTCTGTCTCACAAGGCCACCTTCTGTCTCACAAGGCCACCTTCTGTCTCACAAGGCCACCTTCTGTCTCACAAGGCCACCTTCTGTCTCACAAGGCCACCTTCTGTCTCACAAGGCCACCTTCTGTCTCACAAGGCCACCTTCTGTCTCACAAGGCCACCTTCTGTCTCACAAGGCCACCTTCTGTCTCACAAGGCCACCTTCTGTCTCACAAGGCCACCTTCTGTCTCACAAGGCCACCTTCTGTCTCACAAGGCCACCTTCTGTCTCACAAGGCCACCTTCTGTCTCACAAGGCCACCTTCTGTCTCACAAGGCCACCTTCTGTCTCACAAGGCCACCTTCTGTCTCACAAGGCCACCTTCTGTCTCACAAGGCCACCTTCTGTCTCACAAGGCCACCTTCTGTCTCACAAGGCCACCTTCTGTCTCACAAGGCCACCTTCTGTCTCACAAGGCCACCTTCTGTCTCACAAGGCCACCTTCTGTCTCACAAGGCCACCTTCTGTCTCACAAGGCCACCTTCTGTCTCACAAGGCCACCTTCTGTCTCACAAGGCCACCTTCTGTCTCACAAGGCCACCTTCTGTCTCACAAGGCCACCTTCTGTCTCACAAGGCCACCTTCTGTCTCACAAGGCCACCTTCTGTCTCACAAGGCCACCTTCTGTCTCACAAGGCCACCTTCTGTCTCACAAGGCCACCTTCTGTCTCACAAGGCCACCTTCTGTCTCACAAGGCCACCTTCTGTCTCACAAGGCCACCTTCTGTCTCACAAGGCCACCTTCTGTCTCACAAGGCCACCTTCTGTCTCACAAGGCCACCTTCTGTCTCACAAGGCCACCTTCTGTCTCACAAGGCCACCTTCTGTCTCACAAGGCCACCTTCTGTCTCACAAGGCCACCTTCTGTCTCACAAGGCCACCTTCTGTCTCACAAGGCCACCTTCTGTCTCACAAGGCCACCTTCTGTCTCACAAGGCCACCTTCTGTCTCACAAGGCCACCTTCTGTCTCACAAGGCCACCTTCTGTCTCACAAGGCCACCTTCTGTCTCACAAGGCCACCTTCTGTCTCACAAGGCCACCTTCTGTCTCACAAGGCCACCTTCTGTCTCACAAGGCCACCTTCTGTCTCACAAGGCCACCTTCTGTCTCACAAGGCCACCTTCTGTCTCACAAGGCCACCTTCTGTCTCACAAGGCCACCTTCTGTCTCACAAGGCCACCTTCTGTCTCACAAGGCCACCTTCTGTCTCACAAGGCCACCTTCTGTCTCACAAGGCCACCTTCTGTCTCACAAGGCCACCTTCTGTCTCACAAGGCCACCTTCTGTCTCACAAGGCCACCTTCTGTCTCACAAGGCCACCTTCTGTCTCACAAGGCCACCTTCTGTCTCACAAGGCCACCTTCTGTCTCACAAGGCCACCTTCTGTCTCACAAGGCCACCTTCTGTCTCACAAGGCCACCTTCTGTCTCACAAGGCCACCTTCTGTCTCACAAGGCCACCTTCTGTCTCACAAGGCCACCTTCTGTCTCACAAGGCCACCTTCTGTCTCACAAGGCCACCTTCTGTCTCACAAGGCCACCTTCTGTCTCACAAGGCCACCTTCTGTCTCACAAGGCCACCTTCTGTCTCACAAGGCCACCTTCTGTCTCACAAGGCCACCTTCTGTCTCACAAGGCCACCTTCTGTCTCACAAGGCCACCTTCTGTCTCACAAGGCCACCTTCTGTCTCACAAGGCCACCTTCTGTCTCACAAGGCCACCTTCTGTCTCACAAGGCCACCTTCTGTCTCACAAGGCCACCTTCTGTCTCACAAGGCCACCTTCTGTCTCACAAGGCCACCTTCTGTCTCACAAGGCCACCTTCTGTCTCACAAGGCCACCTTCTGTCTCACAAGGCCACCTTCTGTCTCACAAGGCCACCTTCTGTCTCACAAGGCCACCTTCTGTCTCACAAGGCCACCTTCTGTCTCACAAGGCCACCTTCTGTCTCACAAGGCCACCTTCTGTCTCACAAGGCCACCTTCTGTCTCACAAGGCCACCTTCTGTCTCACAAGGCCACCTTCTGTCTCACAAGGCCACCTTCTGTCTCACAAGGCCACCTTCTGTCTCACAAGGCCACCTTCTGTCTCACAAGGCCACCTTCTGTCTCACAAGGCCACCTTCTGTCTCACAAGGCCACCTTCTGTCTCACAAGGCCACCTTCTGTCTCACAAGGCCACCTTCTGTCTCACAAGGCCACCTTCTGTCTCACAAGGCCACCTTCTGTCTCACAAGGCCACCTTCTGTCTCACAAGGCCACCTTCTGTCTCACAAGGCCACCTTCTGTCTCACAAGGCCACCTTCTGTCTCACAAGGCCACCTTCTGTCTCACAAGGCCACCTTCTGTCTCACAAGGCCACCTTCTGTCTCACAAGGCCACCTTCTGTCTCACAAGGCCACCTTCTGTCTCACAAGGCCACCTTCTGTCTCACAAGGCCACCTTCTGTCTCACAAGGCCACCTTCTGTCTCACAAGGCCACCTTCTGTCTCACAAGGCCACCTTCTGTCTCACAAGGCCACCTTCTGTCTCACAAGGCCACCTTCTGTCTCACAAGGCCACCTTCTGTCTCACAAGGCCACCTTCTGTCTCACAAGGCCACCTTCTGTCTCACAAGGCCACCTTCTGTCTCACAAGGCCACCTTCTGTCTCACAAGGCCACCTTCTGTCTCACAAGGCCACCTTCTGTCTCACAAGGCCACCTTCTGTCTCACAAGGCCACCTTCTGTCTCACAAGGCCACCTTCTGTCTCACAAGGCCACCTTCTGTCTCACAAGGCCACCTTCTGTCTCACAAGGCCACCTTCTGTCTCACAAGGCCACCTTCTGTCTCACAAGGCCACCTTCTGTCTCACAAGGCCACCTTCTGTCTCACAAGGCCACCTTCTGTCTCACAAGGCCACCTTCTGTCTCACAAGGCCACCTTCTGTCTCACAAGGCCACCTTCTGTCTCACAAGGCCACCTTCTGTCTCACAAGGCCACCTTCTGTCTCACAAGGCCACCTTCTGTCTCACAAGGCCACCTTCTGTCTCACAAGGCCACCTTCTGTCTCACAAGGCCACCTTCTGTCTCACAAGGCCACCTTCTGTCTCACAAGGCCACCTTCTGTCTCACAAGGCCACCTTCTGTCTCACAAGGCCACCTTCTGTCTCACAAGGCCACCTTCTGTCTCACAAGGCCACCTTCTGTCTCACAAGGCCACCTTCTGTCTCACAAGGCCACCTTCTGTCTCACAAGGCCACCTTCTGTCTCACAAGGCCACCTTCTGTCTCACAAGGCCACCTTCTGTCTCACAAGGCCACCTTCTGTCTCACAAGGCCACCTTCTGTCTCACAAGGCCACCTTCTGTCTCACAAGGCCACCTTCTGTCTCACAAGGCCACCTTCTGTCTCACAAGGCCACCTTCTGTCTCACAAGGCCACCTTCTGTCTCACAAGGCCACCTTCTGTCTCACAAGGCCACCTTCTGTGCAGCTAAAATCTTCATCGTGTGTGTCACCAGGGTAATTGTGTTCTTCTATCTTTCCACTAGTAATAGCAGTAGATTAAACCGCTTAATTTGCTAGAAGGCAGATTTATTTTCTTCTCACTTTGGTCGAGCTTGTTTTGGCATCCGTGATGTCCTTTGTAAGAGTCCACTCGCCCACTCTGAATGTGATTCATGTCTTGCCAATCTTTTCTTCTCTCACCTTACGCTTGGGAACCTATGCACCCCCCCTCCCCCCCTCCCCGCACCCCCACAACCCCTCCGCACCTCCCCTTCCTCCCCAGCGCACCCGAACTGGGACCAGCGGATGAAGAGCTCTTTGTCGATGCTCTTGCCGAAGTACCCCGCGATGTCGCTGCCCCACAGGAAGAACCCCGACAGCGCTGCCGTCTGCCCCGCCATGATCACCGACGGGAAGCCCTCCGTGCGGTTCCAGTTGGCGCGCTGGTCGCCCGCCCACACGAACGACCTGCTCCACACACACAGCCACACCAAATTTACAACACTCGGTGATGGCTTACAATGGTTAGAAAAGATAGCGTAGAATATTGGCCAGAATCGTCCCAGTCTTGGGCGGGGAGAAAGTGGGTATCGGGCATGGGGTGAGCAGGTATCCATGAAGGTTGTGCTCTCCGCTGACTGCCATGCACAATGCATGCACAGTCCCAATAGCAATCCAACTTCCCCCACAACCAGACTCTCCGAACCTTCAAGGACACGTGAGTTTTACACGAAGCAAATAACCGCATCCAACACCTTTTTAACGGTCAAAACCTTTTCAATACACTGCTGATGTTTTGAAACAGCAAAGAACAGTTATGGTGATGGCAGCCTACAGCGGCAGAAAACCGAGGAGTGTGCACGTTGAGGTGGGGAGCACGAGACAAGGGAAAGCGGGATCCTAAAGACCGGCTTGGCGGCATGAATAAACAGTCAAGATCTAACAGTCTTTGCCAACAGTTTCTGAAAGTGATGAGTGGTGTGGCACTCACTTGCCGGTGCCGGTGAAGCCACTTCTGGCCATGAGCACCCCGTCCCCCTGCAGGTACTTGTCTATGAACGCTGCCATGGCAGCCAGATACACCTCCACGTACTGCCATGGCACGGCACGGCGCATGCATGGCATGGCAGGGCAGGGCAGGGCGCACGTATCGTGCGGTGTGGTGCGGTGATGAGGTTATGCACACGCGACATAACATGGCATGATAACACATGCGAGCATGCATGAATGGCAGAAAGCGGCCATGGAATGAAATCACAGACAAGCAGCCAGCACGGGTAAGCACATGCAGCAGCGAGTATTCAGCATGCAGCGGCGAGTATACAGCATGCAGCAGCGAGTATACAGCAGGCAGCACGCGTGGCAGGGGAGGGCAGGGCGGGGCACGGTGGGGGAGGGCATGGCAGGAGTGCGGCTGACCCTTGTCTTCATGACTGAGAGGGGCGAGCCGTCGTGGAAGGTAGCGCCGGGCAGGAAGTAGTTGCCCTCGCCGTCGTCACACTTGAAGCCGCGCGCCGTGGGCCACTGCAGCGTGGCGTTCATCGCCGCCTGCCAGAACGCCACCGCTGCCTCGCTCGTGAAGTCCACCCGCCCGCCCTCGCCCTTCCACCACTTCACTATCTGTGTTGCGGGATGACGTGATGAGAGCACAGCACGGCACGACATGGTCACGAGTCAGGTTGATAGTAAACAGTTGTTTCATGTCAATGCGAGTCAGCATTTACAAACTGTCGACTCGTGCCTTGAATTTTGGAGTACGCACAGAAAATGACGTGACGCAGGGAACGAGCATGTAGGGGGCCGAAATTGGAAACCGAAACACTCAAGATTGATGTTGGTAACTCTTGAGTCAGCACAGCACAGCACAGCACAGCAGAGCAGAGCAGAGCAGAGCAGAGTGAGATGGTGTGGGTGACTCGTGGGTGGCTCAACTGTCTTCCGTCCAGCGAGCGACCTTTCCCATCTAGTCAGCTCCACTCAACTTGAGTCGAGCCAGGAAAGGAAAGTTATGGACAGGACTCGGATTCAGGTCGAGCCAAGTCGAGGAGTCGTCCAGTGGAGTCAACTAAGCATGCCATAGCAAGGGGGAAGAGCAGGCAGAGAAGGGTGAATTGCAGGGCACATGCACGTGGGAGTACAGGTGGCAGTGGCGGGGCAGACACATGTGCAGCAGTCATGCGCACCCAGGCATGCGCACTGCCCAGTCATGCGCACTGCCCAGTCATGCGCACTGCCCAGTCATGCGCACTGCCCAGTCATGCGCACTGCTCAGTCATGCGCACTCCCCAGTCATGCGCACTGTTCGCTCTCGTGCTACTTGCCCACCCCACTGCCCCCATCGCGCGCCCCACCCACTCACGTCACCTGTGAGTCCACCCCCTCACCTGTGAGTCCACCCCCCTCACCTGCGAGCCGCCCCCCTCCTGCTGCACGAGGAAGCCCTTCTTGTCAGCTTCGTCGAAGATGGCAGCGGGCCCCACAGTGATGCCGGGCATGTCCACTCGGTTGGCGTGGTTGATGAAGGGCGTCGCCCAGAAGATGTTGTAGAAGCTGGGGGGGAGAGGGTCACGGGGGACACGTGGGGCCGCAGGTGGCGTGGCGATGGGATCGAGTGGGGGGAGGAAGGAAGGAGGGGAGAGGCGGGAATGAAGCGGGGCTGCATCGCCGTTCAAAGCACACTGGAGTGAGAGAGGCACGGTGGAGTGAGAGAGGTACGGTGGAGTGAGAGAGGCACGGTGGAGTGAGAGAGGCACGGTGGAGTGAGAGAGGCACGGTGGAGTGAGAGAGGCACGGTGGAGTGAGAGAGGCACGGTGGAGTGAGAGAGGCACGGTGGAGAGAGAGAGGCATGGTGGAGTGAGAGAGGCACGGTGGAGTGAGAGAGGCACGGTGGAGTGAGAGAGGCACGGTGGAGTGAGAGAGGCACGGTGGAGTGAGAGAGGCACGGTGGAGTGAGATAGGCACGGTGGAGGGAGAGAGGCACGGTGGAGTGAGAGAGGCCGAGCCGGCCATGCGAGAGCAGGTGGGGAGCGAATCACGGGTGGCTTGCGTTATTGCGGGGAGGCAATGGCTGAATTGGAGGTGAGGGGAAAGTTAAATGCAGCACGGACAGGCAGAAGAGCGAAAGCTGAAGGGCAGTCAGAGGAAGTGAGGGGGGACAGTCAGCGAGGACAGTGAGCAGGCGGTGGTGGCTGAGAGGAGGCCGCTGGGCGTTGAGGTGCGTGCAGTGTGGGCGTGCACGGTGAGTGAGGGAGGGAGTATTGTAAGACAGGAAGGTGTTGGTGAGTAGGTTGTAGCACTGACCCACCTCCTGGAGGCGCAACTCACCCCAGCTCTTCAAGGCGCAACTCACCCCAGCTCTTCCAGGCGCAACTCACCCCAGCTCTTCAAGGCGCAACTCACCCCAGCTCTTCAAGGCGCAACTCACCCCAGCTCTTCAAGGCGCAACTCACCCCAGCTCTTCAAGGCGCAACTCACCCACTCACCCCAGCTCTTCAAGGCGAAACTCACCCCAGCTCTTCAAGGCGCAACTCACCCCAGCTCTTCAATTCAAGGCGCAACTCACCCCAGCTCTTCAAGGCGCAACTCACCCCAGCTCTTCAAGGCGCAACTCACCCAAGCTCTTCAAGGCGCAACTCACCCCAGCTCTTCAAGGCGCAACTCACCCCAGCTCTTCAATTCAAGGCGCAACTCACCCCAGCTCTTCAAGGCGCAACTCACCCCAGCTCTTCAAGGCGCAACTCACCCCAGCTCTTCAAGGCGCAACTCACCCCAGCTCTGCTGTTCAAGGCGCAACTCACCCCAGCTCTTCAATTCAAGGCGCAACTCACCCCAGCTCTTCAAGGCGCAACTCACCCCAGCTCTTCAAGGCGCAACTCACCCCAGCTCTTCAAGGCGCAACTCACCCCAGCTCTTCAAGGCGCAACTCACCCCAGCTCTTCAAGGCGCAACTCACCCCAGCTCTTCAAGGCGCAACTCACCCCAGCTCTTCAAGGCGCAACTCACCCCAGCTGTTCAAGGCGCAACTCACCCCAGCTGTTCAAGGCGCAACTCACCCCAGCTGTTCAAGGCGCAACTCACCCCAGCTCTTCAAGGCGCAACTCACCCCAACTCTTCAAGGCGCAACCCCAGCTCTTCAAGGCGCAACTCACCCCAGCTCTTCAAGGCGCAACTCACCCCAGCTCTGCTGTTCAAGGCGCAACTCACCCCAGCTCTTCAATTCAAGGCGCAACTCACCCCAGCTCTTCAAGGCGCAACTCACCCCAGCTCTTCAAGGCGCAACTCACCCCAGCTCTTCAAGGCGAAACTCACCCCAGCTCTTCAAGGCGCAACTCACCCCAGCTCTTCAAGGCGCAACTCACCCCAGCTCTTCAATTCAAGGCGCAACTCACCCCAGCTCTTCAAGGCGCAACTCACCCCAGCTCTTCAAGGCGCAACTCACCCCAGCTCTTCAAGGCGCAACTCACCCCAGCTCTTCAAGGCGCAACTCACCCCAGCTCTTCAAGGCGCAACTCACCCCAGCTCTTCAAGGCGCAACTCACCCCAGCTCTTCAAGGCGCAACTCACCCCAGCTCTTCAAGGCGCAACTCACCCCAGCTCTTCAAGGAGAAACTCACCCCAGCTCTTCAAGGTGCAACTCACCCCAGCTCTTGAAGGCGCAACTCACCCCAGCTCTTCAATTCAAGGCGCAACTCACCCCAGCTCTTCAAGGCCCAACTCACCCCTACTCTTCAAGGCGCAACTCACCCCAGCTCTTCAATTCAAGGCGCAACTCACCCCAGCTCTTCAAGGCGCAACTCACCCCAGCTCTTCAAGGCGCAACTCACCCCAGCTCTTCAAGGCGCAACTCACCCCAGCTCTTCAATTCAAGGCGCAACTCACCCCAGCTCTTCAAGGCGCAACTCACCCCAGCTCTTCAAGGCGCAACTCACCCCAGCTCTTCAAGGCGCAACTCACCCCAGCTCTTCAAGGCGCAACTCACCCCAGCTCTTCAAGGCGCAACTCACCCCAGCTCTTCAAGGCGCAACTCACCCCAGCTCTTCAAGGCGCAACTCACCCCAGCTCTTCAAGGCGCAACTCACCCCAGCTCTTCAAGGAGAAACTCACCCCAGCTCTTCAAGGTGCAACTCACCCCAGCTCTTGAAGGCGCAACTCACCCCAGCTCTTCAATTCAAGGCGCAACTCACCCCAGCTCTTCAAGGCCCAACTCACCCCTACTCTTCAAGGCGCAACTCACCCCAGCTCTTCAATTCAAGGCGCAACTCACCCCAGCTCTTCAAGGCGCAACTCACCCCAGCTCTTCAAGGCGCAACTCACCCCAGCTCTTCAAGGCGCAACTCACCCCAGCTCTTCAAGGCGCAACTCACCCCAGCTCTTCAATTCAAGGCGCAACTCACCCCAGCTCTTCAATTCAAGGCGCAACTCACCCCAGCTCTTCAAGGCGCAACTCACCCCAGCTCTTCAAGGCGCAACTCACCCCAGCTCTTCAAGGCGCAACTCACCCCAGCTCTTCAAGGCGCAGCTCACCCCAGCTCTTCAAGGCGCAACTCACCCCAGCTCTTCAAGGCGCAACTCACCCCAGCTCTTCAAGGCGCAACTCACCCCAGCTCTTCAAGGCGAAACTCACCCCAGCTCTTCAAGGCGCAACTCACCCTAGCTCTTCAAGGCGCAACTCACCCCAGCTCTTCAAGGCGCAACTCACCCCAGCTCTTCAAGGCGCAACTCACCCCAGCTCTTCAAGGCGCAACTCACCCCAGCTCTTCAAGGCGCAACTCACCCCAGCTCTTCAAGGCGCAACTCACCCCAGCTCTTCAAGGCGCAACTCACCCCAGCTCTTCAAGGCGCAACTCACCCCAGCTCTTCAATTCAAGGCGCAACTCACCCCAGCTCTTCAAGGCCCAACTCACCCCTACTCTTCAAGGCGCAACTCACCCCAGCTCTTCAATTCAAGGCGCAACTCACCCCAGCTCTTCAAGGCGCAACTCACCCCAGCTCTTCAAGGCGCAACTCACCCCAGCTCTTCAAGGCGCAACTCACCCCAGCTCTTCAAGGCGCAACTCACCCCAGCTCTTCAAGGCGCAACTCACCCCAGCTCTTCAAGGCGCAACTCACCCCGGCTCTTCAAGGCGCAACTCACCCCAGCTCTTCAATTCAAGGCGCAACTCACCCCAGCTCTTCAATTCAAGGCGCAACGCACCCCAGCTCTTCAAGGCGCAACTCACCCCAGCTCTTCAAGGCGCAACTCACCCCAGCTCTTCAAGGTGCAACTCACCCCAGCTCTTCAAGGCGCAACTCACCCCAGCTCTTCAAGGCGCAACTCACCCCAGCTCTTCAAGGCGCAACTCACCCCAGCTGTTCAAGGCGCAACTCACCCCAGCTGTTCAATTCAAGGCGCAACTCACCCCAGCTGTTCAAGGCGCAACTCACCCCAGCTGTTCAAGGCGCAACTCACCCCAGCTCTTCAAGGCGCAACTCACCCCAGCTCTTCAAGGCGCAACTCACCCCAGCTCTTCAAGGCGCAACTCACCCCAGCTCTTCAAGTCGCAACTCACCCCAGCTCTTCAAGGCGCAACTCACCCCAGCTCTTCAAGGCGCAACTCACCCCAGCTCTTCAATTCAAGGCGAAACTCACCCCAGCTCTTCAATTCAAGGCGCAACTCACCCCAGCTCTTCAAGGCGCAACTCACCCCAGCTCTTCAAGGCGCAACTCACCCCAGCTCTTCAAGGCGCAACTCACCCCAGCTCTTCAAGGCGCAACTCACCCCAGCTCTTCAAGGCGCAACTCACCCCAGCTCTTCAAGGCGCAACTCAACCCAGCTCTTCAAGGCGCAACTCACCCCAGCTCTTCAAGGCGCAACTCACCCCAGCTCTTCAAGGCGCAACTCACCCCAGCTCTTCAAGGCGCAACTCACCCCAGCTCTTCAAGGCGCAACTCACCCCAGCTCTTCAAGGCGCAACTCACCCCAGCTCTTCAAGGCGCAACTCACCCCAGCTCTTCAAGGCGCAACTCACCCCAGCTCTTCAATTCAAGGCGCAACTCACCCCAGCTGTTCAAGGCGCAACTCACCCCAGCTCTTCAAGGCGCAACTCACCCCAGCTCTTCAAGGCGCAACTCACCCCAGCTTTTCAAGGCGCAACTCACCCCAGCTGTTCAAGGCGCAACTCACCCCAGCTCTTCAAGGCGCAACTCACCCCAGCTCTTCAAGGCGCAACTCACCCCAGCTCTTCAAGGCGCAACTCACCCCAGCTCTTCAAGGCGCAACTCACCCCAGCTCTTCAAGGCGCAACTCACCCCAGCTCTTCAAGGGGCAACTCACCCCAGCTGTTCAAGGCGCAACTCACCCCAGCTCTTCAAGGCGCAACTCACCCCAGCTCTTCAAGGCGCAACTCACCCCAGCTCTTCAAGGCGCAACTCACCCCAGCTCTTCAAGGCGCAACTCACCCCAGCTCTTCAAGGGGCAACTCACCCCAGCTCTTCAAGGCGCAACTCACCCCAGCTCTTCAAGGCGCAACTCACCCCAGCTCTTCAAGGCGCAACTCACCCCAGCTCTTCAAGGGGCAACTCACCCCAGCTCTTCAAGGCGCAACTCACCCCAGCTCTTCAATTCAAGGCGCAACTCACCCCAGCTCTTCAAGGCGCAACTCACCCCAGCTCTTCAAGGCGCAACTCACCCCAGCTCTTCAAGGCGCAACTCACCCCAGCTCTTCAAGGCGCAACTCACCCCAGCTCTTCAAGGCGCAACTCACCCCAGCTCTTCAAGGCGCAACTCACCCCAGCTCTTCAATTCAAGGCGAAACTCACCCCAGCTCTTCAATTCAAGGCGCAACTCACCCCAGCTCTTCAAGGCGCAACTCACCCCAGCTCTTCAAGGCGCAACTCACCCCAGCTCTTCAAGGCGCAACTCACCCCAGCTCTTCAAGGCGCAACTCACCCCAGCTCTTCAAGGCGCAACTCACCCCAGCTCTTCAAGGCGCAACTCAACCCAGCTCTTCAAGGCGCAACTCACCCCAGCTCTTCAAGGCGCAACTCACCCCAGCTCTTCAAGGCGCAACTCACCCCAGCTCTTCAAGGCGCAACTCACCCCAGCTCTTCAAGGCGCAACTCACCCCAGCTCTTCAAGGCGCAACTCACCCCAGCTCTTCAAGGCGCAACTCACCCCAGCTCTTCAAGGCGCAACTCACCCCAGCTCTTCAAGGCGCAACTCACCCCAGCTCTTCAAGGCGCAACTCACCCCAGCTCTGCTGTTCAAGGCGCAACTCACCCCAGCTCTTCAAGGCGCAACTCACCCCAGCTCTTCAATTCAAGGCGCAACTCACCCCAGCTCTTCAAGGCGCAACTCACCCCAGCTCTTCAAGGCGCAACTCACCCCAGCTCTTCAAGGCGCAACTCACCCCAGCTCTTCAAGGCGCAACTCACCCCAGCTGTTCAAGGCGCAACTCACCCCAGCTCTTCAAGGCGCAACTCACCCCAGCTCTTCAAGGCGCAACTCACCCCAGCTCTTCAAGGCGCAACTCACCCCAGCTGTTCAAGGCGCAACTCACCCCTGCTCTTCAAGGCGCAACTCACCCCAGCTCTTCAAGGCGCAACTCACCCAAGCTCTTCAAGGCGCAACTCACCCCAGCTCTTCAAGGCGCAACTCACCCCAGCTCTTCAAGGCGCAACTCACCCCAGCTCTTCAAGGCGCAACTCACCCCAGCTCTTCAAGGCGCAACTCACCCCAGCTCTTCAAGGCGCAACTCACCCCAGCTCTTCAAGGGGCAACTCACCCCAGCTCTTCAAGGCGCAACTCACCCCAGCTCTTCAAGGCGCAACTCACCCCAGCTCTTCAAGGCGCAACTCACCCCAGCTCTTCAAGGGGCAACTCACCCCAGCTCTTCAAGGCGCAACTCACCCCAGCTTTTCAAGGCGCAACTCACCCCAGCTGTTCAAGGCGCAACTCACCCCAGCTCTTCAAGGCGCAACTCACCCCAGCTCTTCAAGGCGCAACTCACCCCAGCTCTTCAAGGCGCAACTCACCCCAGCTCTGCTGTTCAAGGCGCAACTCACCCCAGCTCTTCAATTCAAGGCGCAACTCACCCCAGCTCTTCAATTCAAGGCGCAACTCACCCCAGCTCTTCAAGGCGCAACTCACCCCAGCTCTTCAAGGCGCAACTCACCCCAGCTCTTCAAGGCGCAACTCACCCCAGCTCTTCAAGGCGCAACTCACCCCAGCTCTTCAATTCAAGGCGCAACTCACCCCTGCTCTTCAAGGCGCAACTCACCCCAGCTCTTCAAGGCGCAACTCACCCCAGCTCTTCAAGGCGCAACTCACCCCAGCTCTTCAAGGCGCAACTCACCCCAGCTCTTCAAGGCGCAACTCACCCCAGCTCTTCAAGGGGCAACTCACCCCAGCTCTTCAAGGCGCAACTCACCCCAGCTCTTCAATTCAAGGCGCAACTCACCCCAGCTCTTCAAGGCGCAACTCACCCCAGCTCTTCAAGGCGCAACTCACCCCAGCTCTTCAAGGCGCAACTCACCCCAGCTCTTCAAGGCGCAACTCACCCCAGCTCTTCAAGGCGCAACTCACCCCAGCTCTTCAAGGCGCAACTCACCCCAGCTCTTCAAGGCGCAACTCACCCCAGCTCTTCAAGGCGCAACTCACCCCAGCTTTTCAAGGCGCAACTCACCCCAGCTGTTCAAGGCGCAACTCACCCCAGCTCTTCAAGGCGCAACTCACCCCAGCTCTTCAAGGCGCAACTCACCCCAGCTCTTCAAGGCGCAACTCACCCCAGCTCTGCTGTTCAAGGCGCAACTCACCCCAGCTCTTCAATTCAAGGCGCAACTCACCCCAGCTCTTCAATTCAAGGCGCAACTCACCCCAGCTCTTCAAGGCGCAACTCACCCCAGCTCTTCAAGGCGCAACTCACCCCAGCTCTTCAAGGCGCAACTCACCCCAGCTCTTCAAGGCGCAACTCACCCCAGCTCTTCAATTCAAGGCGCAACTCACCCCTGCTCTTCAAGGCGCAACTCACCCCAGCTCTTCAAGGCGCAACTCACCCCAGCTCTTCAAGGCGCAACTCACCCCAGCTCTTCAAGGCGCAACTCACCCCAGCTCTTCAAGGCGCAACTCACCCCAGCTCTTCAAGGCGCAACTCACCCCAGCTCTTCAAGGCGCAACTCACCCCAGCTCTTCAAGGCGCAACTCACCCCAGCTCTTCAAGGCGCAACTCACCCCAGCTCTTCAAGGCGCAACTCACCCCAGCTCTTCAAGGCGCAACTCACCCCAGCTCTTCAAGGCGCAACTCACCCCAGCTGTTCAAGGCACAACTCACCCCAGCTCTTCAATTCAAGGCGCAACTCACCCCAGCTGTTCAAGGCGCAACTCACCCCAGCTCTTCAAGGCGCAACTCACCCCAGCTCTTCAAGGCGCAACTCACCCCAGCTTTTCAAGGCGCAACTCACCCCAGCTGTTCAAGGCGCAACTCACCCCAGCTCTTCAAGGCGCAACTCACCCCAGCTCTTCAAGGCGCAACTCACCCCAGCTCTTCAAGGCGCAACTCACCCCAGCTCTTCAAGGCGCAACTCACCCCAGCTCTTCAAGGCGCAACTCACCCCAGCTCTTCAAGGGGCAACTCACCCCAGCTGTTCAAGGCGCAACTCACCCCAGCTCTTCAAGGCGCAACTCACCCTAGCTCTTCAAGGCGCAACTCACCCCAGCTCTTCAAGGCGCAACTCACCCCAGCTCTTCAAGGCGCAACTCACCCCAGCTCTTCAAGGGGCAACTCACCCCAGCTCTTCAAGGCGCAACTCACCCCAGCTCTTCAAGGCGCAACTCACCCCAGCTCTTCAAGGCGCAACTCACCCCAGCTCTTCAAGGGGCAACTCACCCCAGCTCTTCAAGGCGCAACTCACCCCAGCTCTTCAATTCAAGGCGCAACTCACCCCAGCTCTTCAAGGCGCAACTCACCCCAGCTCTTCAAGGCGCAACTCACCCCAGCTCTTCAAGGCGCAACTCACCCCAGCTCTTCAAGGCGCAACTCACCCCAGCTCTTCAAGGCGCAACTCACCCCAGCTCTTCAAGGCGCAACTCACCCCAGCTCTTCAAGGCGCAACTCACCCCAGCTCTTCAAGGCGCAACTCACCCCAGCTTTTCAAGGCGCAACTCACCCCAGCTGTTCAAGGCGCAACTCACCCCAGCTCTTCAAGGCGCAACTCACCCCAGCTCTTCAAGGCGCAACTCACCCCAGCTCTTCAAGGCGCAACTCACCCCAGCTCTGCTGTTCAAGGCGCAACTCACCCCAGCTCTTCAATTCAAGGCGCAACTCACCCCAGCTCTTCAATTCAAGGCGCAACTCACCCCAGCTCTTCAAGGCGCAACTCACCCCAGCTCTTCAAGGCGCAACTCACCCCAGCTCTTCAAGGCGCAACTCACCCCAGCTCTTCAAGGCGCAACTCACCCCAGCTCTTCAATTCAAGGCGCAACTCACCCCTGCTCTTCAAGGCGCAACTCACCCCAGCTCTTCAAGGCGCAACTCACCCCAGCTCTTCAAGGCGCAACTCACCCCAGCTCTTCAAGGCGCAACTCACCCCAGCTCTTCAAGGCGCAACTCACCCCAGCTCTTCAAGGCGCAACTCACCCCAGCTCTTCAAGGCGCAACTCACCCCAGCTCTTCAAGGCGCAACTCACCCCAGCTCTTCAAGGCGCAACTCACCCCAGCTCTTCAAGGCGCAACTCACCCCAGCTCTTCAAGGCGCAACTCACCCCAGCTCTTCAAGGCGCAACTCACCCCAGCTCTTCAACACGCAACTCACCCCAGCTGTTCAAGGCACAACTCACCCCAGCTCTTCAATTCAAGGCGCAACTCACCCCAGCTGTTCAAGGCGCAACTCACCCCAGCTCTTCAAGGCGCAACTCACCCCAGCTCTTCAAGGCGCAACTCACCCCAGCTTTTCAAGGCGCAACTCACCCCAGCTGTTCAAGGCGCAACTCACCCCAGCTCTTCAAGGCGCAACTCACCCCAGCTCTTCAAGGCGCAACTCACCCCAGCTCTTCAAGGCGCAACTCACCCCAGCTCTTCAAGGCGCAACTCACCCCAGCTCTTCAAGGCGCAACTCACCCCAGCTCTTCAAGGGGCAACTCACCCCAGCTGTTCAAGGCGCAACTCACCCCAGCTCTTCAAGGCGCAACTCACCCCAGCTCTTCAAGGCGCAACTCACCCCAGCTCTTCAAGGCGCAACTCACCCCAGCTCTTCAATTCAAGGCGCAACTCACCCCTGCTCTTCAAGGCGCAACTCACCCCAGCTCTTCAAGGCGCAACTCACCCCAGCTCTTCAAGGCGCAACTCACCCCAGCTCTTCAAGGCGCAACTCACCCCAGCTCTTCAAGGCGCAACTCACCCCAGCTCTTCAAGGCGCAACTCACCCCAGCTCTTCAAGGCGCAACTCACCCCAGCTCTTCAAGGGGCAACTCACCCCAGCTCTTCAAGGCGCAACTCACCCCAGCTCTTCAAGGCGCAGCTCACCCCAGCTCTTCAAGGCGCAACTCACCCCAGCTCTTCAAGGCGCAACTCACCCCAGCTCTTCAAGGCGCAACTCACCCCAGCTCTTCAAGGCGCAACTCACCCCAGCTCTTCAAGGCGCAACTCACCCCAGCTCTTCAAGGCGCAACTCACCCCAGCTCTTCAAGGCGCAGGAACATATCCTCCGGGTCGTCAAATTGGTGGCGGTTGATGGTGAAGTCGTTGTAGCTCGTCTCCCACGGGCTGTCGATGAGAATCACCGACCCTGGTATGCCCTGCTGCCGCAGCTTCTCCGCATCTTCCAATACCTGTGCGGGTGACACGCGCATGTGTTGGCATGCATGGAACATGCACGGCACATGCATGTGGACGCATGATTGGATCACATATCAAACTCACCTCTCAAATGCACAAGGCACGTGTCTCTCTCACCTGTGAGCAGTTGAAGTGCACGTCTCACCTGTGAGCAGTTGAAGTGCACGTCTCACCTGTGAGCAGTTGAAGTGCACGTCTCGGCCCTTCCAGGGTGCAAAGGCCCAGTCGGGCGGCATGGAGGGGCGCGCGGAGAGGCGTGTGAACTCAGAGAGCACTGCGAGCAGCGAGGGGCCCGAGATGAACACCACTCGCAGCTGCTGCTCCCTGTACCGTATGGCCTGGGGGGAGTGTGGAGGCACGATGGGGCGAGGCGATGGGGGAGACGGAAAAGGAGTCAGGGAAAGGAGGTGGGAGGGGGCAGAGGGGTGGATTTTAGTGGATGCACTGTGGGGTCCACCCAGCAGTGCCACGCCGACATTCACCACACGTGGGCTTGAGAAATATCACGTGATGTGGGGAGAGGAGTTGAGGGGGGAGACGGGGGGAGCACAGCGATAGGAGTTTGCAGGGGAAGGAAAGGTATACTTCATTCGACACTGTCATCCTCTGCGCAGCACGCACGCACGCACCCATGCACCCCAGCCGTACCAGCATGTCAGGCTCGTCGGGGGTGCCGAGGCTGAAGGAGCCGTTGGCGTAGGACTGCACCCACACGCCGTACCCGCTGCTGCTCATCACAAACGGCACCGGCTTGTAGCTGCGCTGCGCCTGGGGGGGGTGGGCGCACAGTGTGGGGAGGCGCACAGTGTGGGGAGGCGGACAGGAAGGAGGCGTGGGCATGGGCACAAGGGGATGATGCGCGAGTGGGTTGAGTATTAGCTCGTTTTTGTACCCACTTCATGTGTGCGTGGGGTCATACATCTAAGTTTATGCATGATGTCAACTTGCGTCTACAGTTGCCTAAAACTAGTTCATGCTTTGGGTCGGCCTACATCTGTTCAGGATGTCGTAGAAAAATTGGGAGGTGCTTGTGTGCAAAGTATGTGAATATCCAATCTCCAGTGTAATTTCTCATTGTTCCTCGCGAATCAGATCAAGCCTGACACTCTTCCTGTGTGCATGATGGACCTCTCAACACAAAATGGACATATGGCCATCTCTGCCAGTGTCCTTGCACACTCATCCGCAATGTGGGCCGCGGGCTTTCATGAGCGTACAATGAGCTCACGGCACGTACAGTCACATCTCGGCACGTACAGTCACATCTCGGCACGTACAGTCACATCTCAGCACGTACAGTCACATCTCAGCACGTACAGTCACATCTCAGCACGTACAGTCACATCTCAGCACGTACAGGGACGTCAGTGAAGCGGTCAAACGAAAACATGGGCAATACGTTGCCCTTCTGGTTCACCGCATTGAACCGCTCTCCACCGCCGTACCACCCCGATGCATTGTCTGCTATCTAAGAGGATAGGATGGGGTGGTGGGAAGGGACAAAACGGGGGCGAGGAGCGGTAAGATAGAAGTTGGTGCATAGCAAGGGAGCAGTGGCGTGCAGCAAGGCATGGCAGCATGTGGGCGGGCAGAGTGCGCATGGCAGATGGCGCCCGGCCACTCAGAGCACCGCACCACACGAGCGCCACACGCAACTCCCCCCCACCGTCCCTGTCACGTCGCCTGACTCCTCCACCCCAACCACACCGCTGCTCACCCGCAGCGTGAAGTCAACGCCATCGGGGAAGAGCAGCGGCGTGGTGACCTCCCACGTGAGCACCACAGCGTGCTCGCTCAGCCTGCTCGCCCTCACCACCACCGCCGGCAGCACGGGAGCACCAGAGGCGTTCTGCGCGGCGGGCTGGGCTGCAGTTGCAGGGCATTGGCACACATGGCATGGGCGGATTGCAGTTGCAACATGAGCACATGAGCACATGAGCACATGAGCACGGGTCAAGTGTGGAGTCACCCCCAAGTCAATCATAGAGTCGAGTCGAGTCAAGTCGAGGTGAGCCGAGCCTGATTTCAGCCGCGGAGTGAGCGCACACTGGGTGGAGTGAGCGCACACTGGGTGGAGTGAGCGCACATACGAGCAGATGAGGTACATACGAGCAGATGAGGTACATACGAGCAGATGAGGTACATACGAGCAGATGAGGTACATACGAGCAGATGAGGTACATACGAGCAGATGAGGTACATACGAGCAGATGAGGTACATACGAGCAGATGAGGTACATACGAGCAGATGAGGTACATACGAGCAGATGAGGTACATACGAGCAGATGAGGTACATACGAGCAGATGAAGTACATACGAGCAGATGAGGTACATACGAGCAGATGAGGTACATACGAGCAGATGAAGTACATACGAGCAGATGAGGTACATACGAGCAGATGAGGTACATACGAGCAGATGAGGTACATACGAGCAGATGAGGTACATACGAGCAGATGAGGTACATACGAGCAGATGAGGTACATACGAGCAGATGAGGTACATACGAGCAGATGAGGTACATACGAGCAGATGAGGTACATACGAGCAGATGAGGTACATACGAGCAGATGAGGTACATACGAGCAGATGAGGTACATACGAGCAGATGAGGTACATACGAGCAGATGAAGTACATACGAGCAGATGAGGTACATACGAGCAGATGAGGTACATACGAGCAGATGAGGTACATACGAGCAGATGAGGTACATACGAGCAGATGAGGTACATACGAGCAGATGAGGTACATACGAGCAGATGAGGTACATACGAGCAGATGAAGTACATACGAGCAGATGAGGTACATACGAGCAGATGAGGTACATACGAGCAGATGAGGTACATACGAGCAGATGAGGTACATACGAGCAGATGAGGTACATACGAGCAGATGAGGTAGGTTGGAACTAGGCATAGGCATTGGCCCGACCCGACCCGACCCGACCCGTTTGGGCTACCCGAGGGCGAAGTCGGGTTGGGTCGGGTATTCCCGACCCCGGGTAATTATGATCAGGGTGTATACCAACCCGCCTTGTACACCTCGGGTATTTAGAACCCGAGGTCGGGTCGGGTATACCCGTTATGGATTAGAGATGAGCATTTGCCCCGAGCGGGTCAGGCCGGCCCGACCCGACCCGTGGTTTCAAGGTGCAAAAATACGGTTTTCGTAAATTACAGTCCGTTTTTTACGGTAATTTTTCAAAAATACGGCGTTTTTTTGTTAGAGAACTCTTGTCACCAAGGAAAAAAAGGCAAAAACAAGGTCGGATACATTTTCAATTATGCCCACATGCACACATGCAAAGAGGGGTTCGTCCTCTTCATCCTGGTGCTTTTCGCCATCAATTTGGCCCCAGAAATTAGCCGATTTTCTCTTCAAACGAAAATCACATTTTGGAACCGTTCTTTACCGTTTTTTACGGCCGTTTTTTACGGTACCGTTTTTTACGGTAAATTTTCAAAAAAACGACGTTTTTTTTAACCTTGCGTGGTTTAGCCCGGGTCGGGTCAGTGGATTCATTTGCGTGCCCCGTGTGGGCCGACCCGACCCGAAACAGGCTAAAACCCGACCCGAGCATGGAACTCGGGCCGATTCGGGTCGGGTTTCAGGTCAGGCTTGACCCGACCCGAATTCGGGTCAGGACCAGGGAAATCGGGTCGGGCTTTTGGCCCGACCCGACACACTGCGGACGAAACCCCAGGGGGTTTAATTCCCCTCGACATCAGAACCTACCCACACTCAATCTTGCCTAACGGCAGCAAGCAAGCAAGTCACCTAAGCTTAGAAACTACTTAGTTACCAACCGTTCAAACCTCCGTGACAGACACTATAGCTAGTTTACTATCGTATCCTGCTGTTCACGGAAAATCGCGATGCAGGAATGACGTTTTTTTACAACTTCGCGTTTTACAACTTCCTACTTTACTAGCGATACTAGCGATACACCCCTGCTCCCTCTAAAGGGCGGGTCAGACTGGCCCGACCCGACCCGACTCGTGACCGGGTCCAAGTTGACCCGAGTGTGTAGGCCCGGGTCGGGCCAGAACTTTCAGGAACCTGGCCCGAGCCTGGCCTGACCCGACCCGATCCGGGAGCCAGTGTGGCCCGGCCAGGTCGGGTCGGGTCGGGCCGGGCCATTTGCTCAACTCTATTATGGATTATGTTCTGTAATTTCTACGTTTATTTCTTAACCTGCTTTAGGATTACATTTGTCGGGTTTCACATACGCGACATTGGACACCCGAGTCGGGTACCGGGTAATAAAATACCCGAGCGAGTATACACTACCTGACCCGCGCGGGTAGTCACTTCGAATATAAGAACCCGACCCGACTTTTTAGTCGGGTCGGGTTGGGTTACCCGACCCGTCCGGGTAAAGTGCCCAAGCCTAGTTGTAGAGGAGGGTGGGAGAGGAGGGTGGGAGAGGAGGGTGGGAGAGAAGGGAGAGAGAGGAGAGTGGGAGAGGAGGGTGGGAGTAGATGGTGGGGCTGAGGGTGTGGGTGGCATTGTTGGGGTCGAGGTGAGGTGAGTAACACCTGCTCGCCTTAGCTCGGGAGACAGAATATGTGCCTTTACAGGTGGTACACTCAGCTCGTTACTCGAACAAGGCTAGCCACCAAGCCACAAGAAGGCGAATACCACTCGGCCCACTGAGTGCTTTTGTGTAGCCCAGAAGGGGTTCTACCTACTGAGAAGATGTGTGGAGACGACAGCACACGGGACGGGTGGAGATGAGATGAGACCACATGCATGTGCGGTGAGACCACATGCATGTGCGGTGAGACCACATGCATGTGCGGTGAGACCACATGCATGTGCGGTGAGACCACATGCATGTGCGGTGAGACCACATGCATGTGCGGTGAGACCACATGCATGTGCGGTGAGACCACATGCATGTGCGGTGAGACCACATGCATGTGCGGTGAGACCACATGCATGTGCGGTGAGACCACATGCATGTGCGGTGAGACCACATGCATGTGCGGTGAGACCACATGCATGTGCGGTGAGACCACATGCATGTGCGGTGAGACCACATGCATGTGCGGTGAGACCACATGCATGTGCGGTGAGACCACATGCATGTGCGGTGAGACCACATGCATGTGCGGTGAGACCACATGCATGTGCGGTGAGACCACATGCATGTGCGGTGAGACCACATGCATGTGCGGTGAGACCACATGCATGTGCGGTGAGACCACATGCATGTGCGGTGAGACCACATGCATGTGCGGTGAGACCACATGCATGTGCGGTGAGACCACATGCATGTGCGGTGAGACCACATGCATGTGCGGTGAGACCACATGCATGTGCGGTGAGACCACATGCATGTGCGGTGAGACCACATGCATGTGCGGTGAGACGACATGCATGTGCGGTGAGACCACATGCATGTGCGGTGAGACCACATGCATGTGCGGTGAGACCACATGCATGTGCGGTGAGACCACATGCATGTGCGGTGAGACCACATGCATGTGCGGTGAGACGACATGCATGTGCGGTGAGACGACATGCATGTGCGGTGAGACGACATGCATGTGCGGTGAGACGACATGCATGTGCGGTGAGACCACATGCATGTGCGGTGAGACGACATGCATGTGCGGTGAGACCACATGCATGTGCGGTGAGACGACATGCATGTGCGGTGAGACCACATGCATGTGCGGTGAGACCACATGCATGTGCGGTGAGACCACATGCATGTGCGGTGAGACCACATGCATGTGCGGTGAGACCAAATGCATGTGCGGTGAGACGACATGCATGTGCGGTAAGACGACATGCATGTGCGGTGAGACGACATGCATGTGCGGTGAGACGACATGCATGTGCGGTGAGACCACATGCATGTGCGGTGAGACGACATGCATGTGCGGTGAGACGGGGAAACGAAGATGGCATGCGCTCCCTGTGCATGCGCTCCCTGTGCATGCGCTCTTAAGATGTGGTAGCATTAGGCACTAAACCCCACCCCTCCAGTGTCCCACCACTTGCATTGGCTCAACGCACCTGGTGACGTGGAGGTGGAATGACGGAGAGGGTGGGAGATTGTAGAGATGGTGAGACGGCAGGGAGAGGGCGGTTGTGGAGGAGGCATGAGGGAGAGATGTGCGAGACAGGGGCTTTAAGAATGCATTGTGGCACGCAGTGCACGTCGCACCACACACCCACTCGCACTCACCTCCCTCAACTCCCTCCGCCTCCCCTCCTGCGTGCCACGTGGCGGTGCGTCCAGTGCCGCCCATCACGAGCCCCCGCACGCGCGCCCCCCCCACCTCCACCGCGGGCAGCTGCAGGCGCTGCTGCCGCCGCTCCGGCACGGGGAAGGGCGCGGGGAGGGGCGCGGCGGACGAGGCGGTGGGGGCGAGGAGCAGCAGCACGCCGTGGCCTGAGGGGTGGTAGGCGATGGATAGCCTGGGCACACGGGGTGTGGGGTGATGGGGGGACGGAGGGGAGGAGGGGGTGAAGTGAAGGCGAGTTAGAGAGGTACAAGTGAGTGAGAGAGCGTAATGCACCAACGACCACATTCCGCATTCCCAGTTACCCCCTGCTAGTCAGCGAATCAGCTTGCAGTACTTGCCACATCACACTCCTCACCACCCAGCATTCCCGCCCCTCATTCTCCCCGCCTTCCTCGCGCTTCCCTCCGCCACTCCGCATTCCGCGATGACCGCACCGCCGCTCGTGCGCGGCCTCCCTTCCCCGCCACCCCACCTCCCTGACTGCACGCGCATTCCCTCCCAGCCCCGCGCCAGCCGCCGAAACGTCCCGCCCGCCTCTGTCGCCACGCGCGCAGCCCCGCCGCCACTCACCACTGCGCGCTTGCGCCGACGGCGGCAGGTTTCGCTCGGCGCGCGAGGAGCGAAAGCAGATAGAGCGCGCCGAGTACGGCGGGGCCCACCAGCGGGAAGTACCGCAGGTTGCGCGCGGAACCCGCGGTGCCCACCGCTCTCCGCGCGGCGCTGCTCCGCGCGTGCGGCGGCATTTTGCGCGGAACGGTCACGGAGCTGAACGGCTGTTGGTGGCTCGGAAGCGAGCTGCCTGTGGTTGTATCGAGCGGCTTATAGCGGAATCGGAGGGGCAGAGCATCCCCATTCACCATCTCCTATGCGGGCGACATTAACGGAGCCAGTGAGGAGCCGCGCGGTAGTGTGGGATGCGAGGAGAGGACGCGCGGAGAGGACGCGCGTTGAGGCGCAGGAACGAACGGACACGCGGATCGTTCAGCGCGGACGAGGCGCAGTTTTATCACCAAACCGAACCTCAGGGCGTGTAAAATCGGCGTGCATTTTAAAAAATGGGGTTTGGCCGGGTTTTTGTCGACCAAATATGGTCGACACTTCTTTCGCACATGTCGACCTGATGGCCGAATTAGAGTCGACCAGTATTTGCAGGTCTGCAAATTTTACAACTTTGCAGGCCGAATTGCTGGCCGACTCCAGAAAACTTGTAAAATTTGCAAGTGCTACAGTAGGAACGTTTGTGCGACGGGGTCGCACATATGACGGCGAAGTCTCTGATTCGACAAGAGAAAATAATCTGTCGTTCTGCGAGACTGTGCGACGTCGCACGTGACAGTCGCTCACGGAGTCGACTACTTGGCCGAATTGGAGTCGACATGGTGTCGAATTCGAGTCGACTTTCAAAACGGCCATCAATTTCGTTTTTTATTCGCGAAATTTGCGATGGTCGCGAGCTTCTTCATGAAACTCGCAAACGGGTTACTTTCGCCAATTCGGCCATTCGGCTTGTGGCCGAATTTTTAGGTGCAGCGATTTTACACGCCCTCAATGAGAAGCTTCAAATATCTAGGGGTTTGAGAAGTTGGTAACACAACCCAGCTGTACAACCCCGCCCGCACCCTCCAATCCAACCCAACTGTCCCACCCAAGTCATGTCCCTCACTTGTTTGTGATCGCTGTCTCCCCGCGCGCGTCGTTGGTGCGCGTTCGTAGAAGCGCTCTTTCCCATGTCTTCCTCGTCGCACCACCACTCCGCGCGCGCCTCGCTGCGATCTCGCTGGCACGGCGGCGCGCACAAGGCGGGGTACGGAATCCGCGCGGCGCACGTCATCCAGGCGTGCGCCTTCGCTATAGTCACGCTCTGGCTCTGCTACCACTGGTCGCACGCCCCGCGCCGCCAGCCCCCGCGCGACGCGGACCCGGCCGCGGCGAGCGCGGGGAGGCTGCAGGTGCGGGGGCTCGTGGTGGAACGGCCCAAGCCTAAAGATGTGGGTCGGCGGAAGAGCCGCAGCGTGATCTCCCTGGAGGGCCCCGGTGACCGCGACCTGCTGCCGGGGAACGGCGCGCTGGCGGACGCGGAGGGCGCTCGCGGCGGAGGGGCGCTGGCGGGGGGAGATATCGTGCGGCGCATCGTGGCGAAGGCGGGCATGGCGCAGGCTCGCGGCGTGAAGCTGAAAGACCTGGTGGAGGCGAAGGCGCAGGGCGGGGGGAACCTGCTGGGGGAGTTCGGGGGGGAGGCGGAGGAGGAGGGGGAGCGGGCGTGGGAGGAGGAGGGGGAGATGGAGGAGCGCGCGCTGGTGGACCTCAAGGGCGGGGGACGCGAGGCGAAGGTGGTGCAGCGCGCACTGGACGAGACGCGCGCCGTGGAGGGGGACGGCGGGGCGGAGGGCGAGCGCGGGGGCGCTTCGGCATCGGCGCTGGAGGTGGCGGAGGACGCGGAGGTGGGCGCGGAGAGGGGGGGCGCGGGGGAGAGAGGCGCGGAGGGCGGGAGGAAACAACAGGCGGGGCGGGCGGGGGAGAGGCAGGGGGAAGGGGGGAACGGGAGGTTGTTTAAGGTGGACGCGAGAGGGGAAGAAGCGGCAGGGATGGAAGGGGAGGAGCGGGGAGGGGAGGAGGGAAAGCAGGGAGGGAGAGAGGAGGATGAGGATGAGGACGAGGCGAGGGGCGAGGAGGATGGGGCAGGCGACACACACGAGGGCGGCAGCAGCAGCAGCGGTGGCGAGGGCGAGGGCGGCGCGTGGGAGGGGAAGCAGCAGGGAGTAGACAACAGCAGCAGTGCAGACTACCCGGTTGTGCTGGCGCGCACGAGACGCATGGCACTGCGCCTGCACGCCCCCTCCGCGCGCCTGCTGCTCGCCTTCCCCCCCACTCGCACTGCCATGCCCGCCCATCCACCTGCCCGCCTCACCACCGTGCCGCCCCTGCTGCTGCCGCTGCTGCCGCCCGTGCTGCAGGGGCGCACGCTGTCAGCGTTCCAGGTGGAGGGGGACAGTGGTAGTGGTGCGCCGGGAGGGGGGAAGAGCAGCACGCAGAGCGTGGCGTGGCGGGGGCGCGTGCGAGTGGTTGGAGGTGAGAGGATGTGGGCATAGGGAGAGGGGGAGAGCATCAAGTTCTTTCTCTCGAATGGTCCTTTATTGAATGATGTAGGCAATGTTGTACAACGGGAGGGCAATAAGGTAGGTATAGTGACGACAGCCTGTGTAGCACAAGCTACTGCACGTGAGTGGAGTGGAGCATGTCGGGTGCCCGATGCTCGGCGGAGTGGACGGGCTCCCCGATGCCAACGGGCTCCCCGATGCCAACGGGCTCCCCGATGCCAACGGGCTCGGCTCGGGGAAGGGGCTCGGGGAAGGGGTTCACGGCAGTGGGAGGCGCCACGGGGAGGTGGTGGCGATCAGCGCATTCGCCTGGCCCGCTGCAGTGCATGAGCAGCTCTGGCGATAGCTTTGGAACAGCCCAGCTGCTTCCTTCCCTCGAGGGCGGCTCCGAGTGTCTTGGCTGCCATGCCAGGTGCGCACAGAGGCGCAGCAACTCCAACACTCCGGGCCCGGGGGAGCAGCCATGAGTATCACCTGCCATGCCATGGCCTTCAACCCCACCCACTCCCATGGGGCCATCGGTGGCGTTACTTGTGCTCCTTCGCCCTGCCCTGCCCTGCCCGCCATCCGTACCACCCACCCACCCACCCCACGCCACGCCACGCCACGCCACGCCACGCCACGCCACGGGACGCCACGGGACGCTGTGGGACGCTGTGGGGTGTTGGGTGGAGACGGGGTGCGTGACGGTGACGTCACAGATCCACATGCCACTGCCTGCCCCACAGCGGCGGTGGCGGATGGCCATGTTGCCTTTCAGCCCTCATTCCCCCGCTGCGCGGAAGATCATGAGTCAACCGCAATTCTGATGCACTCGTCACGCAGGGCGTGATGCGTGCCTGTGCGCCCTTGCCCCGTTCTGCAGCGCAGCAGGAGGTTGGGGAGCCGTGTGTCCAGTATTTCAGTGTGGTGGCGCCACTCACATGCTCCTCGCACCTCTTGAGGTACGCCCAGTCGGAACGCCAGGGTGGAGGCGAAGTGAGCTGGGGAGAGGCGCAGATTGTAGGTGAAGGGGATGGCCATCATCCAGTCTGCTGTTCCTGCGCCGATGAGCGACATGAGGCGCTGTGTGTGCCCCATGAGCGGCGTCAGCTCCATGTGCTGGCTCTTCTCTGGGAGCTCGCCATAGCTCTCCGTGTGCACCGCACCGCCAGTGAAAGGCCGTGCTGCCCTTTTGTGGCACGCGCGCCCTCCCCATGTTGGGTGAAGGTGGGGACGGCATCAGGCGGGAGGTTCGCTCCACAAGTGGCGAGTGGGGCAGGTAGAGCTGCTCGGGTCACCAGTCCGGTGGGGAATGGCTCGAAAAGCCACAGCAGCTCTGACAATTGGGGATGGAGGACATCTGTGCGGAGGGTAAGAGGAAGTGCAGGCAGGGGTGTGTTGTGCAGGCAGGGGTGTGTTGTGCAAACCCTTGAAGACCACCGCCCTTTCGATTCGCCTGCGTTGAAGGCAAGGCATTGCGCACGTCCAGGTGCAGCTGCAGCGCCACGCCACGTGGGATGGGTGGTGCTCCAGGTAAGTCGGAGTAGCATCAAGTGGATAAGTGCTTCCGCGCCTCCTGCAATCGCCACACCCAACTGCAGCGCAGCGAACAACCTCGGGGCTGCAGGCGCGGCGAGATGCAGCGCCGCCATGACATGGCGAGATGCAGCGCCGCCATGGCATGGCCACGAGGCAGTGGAGGACTCCGCCCGCCCACTGCAATTGGTCGCGTGGCCCCTTGGGGTTTTGAGAAGGCCAGGAGGCGTGAGGCTGTGACAAGTGACGCCGCTGCGGCTGGTATTTTCCCGGCGATGACTGTGTTGAGCAGCACCAGCAGTAGCAGGTGCTCACGTACGTGTGGATAGTGCAGGGCAGCGTCACGGATGTGCTGGAAGCACGTTCCACTCGCGCCAGCTGCCAGGTGCCAGGTGCCAGCTGCCAGCTGACACTCCGTTCTTGCAGGCAGGTACTCAGGGCGTGGCGCAAGTTGTGTGCGGACATGGCAGGGGTGGGCCACGCACGCAAGGACTCCAGGCACTGTGGGAGTTGGAGCTCAGCTCGTGGGTGCCGGGCGGTAAGTGCGGCCAATGTGTGTGCGCGTGTTGGGCTTAGCGGGGTGGATTCCATTCCACGGCTTGGACCGCTTTCGCCACGCTGCCACGTCTCACCAATGCTGTTGCTCTGGCTGGGGTTCCTGTGGTGTGCTGTCAGCCATGTGGCGTGGCGTGCACGGGATGTCACGTGGATTGCCTCGCGCGCCTCTTCGTAAAGCTCCTCCCAGTCCCCTTGGCGAAATCGGAACAGTCTTGAAGCCACGCCCCCCCAATGAGGTTTCCGTGTTGAGGCAACTCGGAGTGTCAGGTGCTGAAGAAAGACCAGCAGGCGGCAGCCTGCCAGGTCGCCAGGTTGGCTTGGCGGGCGAGTTGCAGGAGGGGGGGTCAGTCAGTCAGTAGGCATGTTGCCAAGGAGTCTCGGATTTCTCGTGGAAAATGGCGGGCAAGTAGGGGCTGGTGAGAGGAAATGGGCTTAGGGAGAGGAGGGGAGCATGAGTTTCTTTCTCTCGTCCTCAATCACTCCCTGCACCGCGCGCTCTCCTCTTCCCTAAACACTTCGGCTTCCCAGCGCCCCTCGCCTCCTCTCCGTTCCCCCACCCCCCCAGCTCCTGCGCTCTCCAGTCTTGTCATTCCTCTCCAGTCTTGTCATTCCTCTCCATTCTTGTCATTCCTCTCCAGTCTTGTCATTCCTTTCGGCCTCACGCTTTCGCTCAACTCACTCGTGCATGCCTTCACCCCTCCTCCCTCTGCGCCCCCTTGCGTGCCGCACACCATGCATGCCTGCCTGCTGGGCGTGCAGGGGACGGCCAGGCAGCGCAGGGAAGGGCGGAAGGCGTGGGGGGGAGGGGAGGGGGAGATGAGGGCGAGGAGGTGGAGGTGCGGGTGGGGGTGATCGCTGAGGTGCTGAGTGCCAAGGCCATCGCTGTCACCTGGACCGTGGAGCCTGCACTCGTACGTGCTGCCATGTGCTGCCATGTGCTGCCATGTGCTGCCATGCCCTGCCATGCCATGCCATGCCATGCCATGCTATGCCATGCTATGCTATGCCCTTCCCTGCCATGCCCTGCGCGCCCTCCTCCCATGTGCAGTGTAGTGCTGCAACGCGCTGCACTCCCTCCCCCCATGCGCTGCACTCCCTCCCCCCATGCGCTGCGCTCCCTCCCCCCATGCGCTGCGCTGCACGCCAGCCGCCACATGCTGTGTTGTGCTGCGCTCGGCGCTCGCCGTCCGTGTGTGCGCTACATCTCATCTCATCTGCACCCTTTGCATGTGTGCCTGTCCTTTCTCTGCCCATTCTTTCCTTGCCATCCCACGTACTTGCTTGCACTTGATCATCTTCAAATTCTCCTTTCTTCCTGCCCCTCTCTTGTGTACCCACTTCCCTTGCTCTGCTCTCGCGTCCTGCCATCACCCTGCCCTGCCCCTTGCGTGTGTCCAACATGCCGCAGCCAGCAGCAGCACGGCGGGCACGGCGCCGCTTTGAAGTGCCGTTGCAATTGGAGCTCAAAGTGAGTTATATCGCAGCATTGAACCCATCGTTTCCATTCCACACCCCACCTGTTGCCTCGCTGTCACACCACAGCACACTGTGCTCAGCAAATCAAGCCTGCTCGTTCCTCGTGCCTCTGCACGCACCGCACCGCCACACACCACTCTCACTCGCCTTCCACTCATTCCCATCCCCCTCGCCTCGCCCCTTGCAGATCCGAGACAGCCCTGTTGGGTGGTACGGAGGCGGAGAGCGGTTCAATGCGGTGAACCAGAAGGGCAACGTGCTGCCCATGGCCACTCGTGACACGCCCTCCGGCAACCAGGTGGGGGCAGGTGGGGGCAGGTGGGGCCAGGTGGGGGCAGGTGGGACCAGGTGGGACAGGTGGGACCACGTGGGACTAGGTGGGACAGGTGGGACCCTCACTTGAAGTGGCAGGGCGAACTTCTTTCCCTCCTATCGCCCTTCCTCTCCTGCTGCTCTCGAGTCAAATCAAGTCCATTGCTATTTTCCCCCTCTTGCCGTCCCTCCCCTCCCATCTCCCCCTTCTCTCCCCCAGGCGAGTGCACGTACAAGGCGAGGCGGTGCCGTTCGTGATGAGACAAGTTTGAGTCGATTAGAATGTCTCCCCACCCCTCCTCGCTGTGCGTCCCGTGCAGGCGGAGCGCACATATAAGGCGGTGCCATTCGTGATGAGCACGTCGGGGTGGGGCGTGTGGGTGGACTCGCACGCGCAGGGCTCCTTCCTGCTCAACCATGCCTCTGACCCCCACCACATGGTGCGCCGCGCGCTGCTGCATGCATGGTGCATGCATGCTGCATGCATGGTGCATGCGTGGTGCATGCATGGTGCATGCGTGGTGCATGCATGGTGCATGCGTGGTGCATGCATGGTGCATGCGTGGTGCATGCATGGTGCATGCGTGGTGGATGCATGGTGCATGCGTGGTGCATGCATGGTGCATGCATGGTGCATGCATGGTGCATGCGTGGTGCATGCATGGTGCATGCGTGGTGCATGCATGGTTGCATGCATGGTGCATGCATGGTGCATGCATGGTGCATGCGTGGTGCATGCATGGTGCATGCGTGGTGCATGCATGGTGCATGCGTGGTGCATGCATGGTGCATGCATGGTGCATGCGTGGTGCATGCGTGGTGCATGCATGGTGCATGAATGGTGCATGCGTGGTGCATGAATGGTGCATGCGTGGTGCATGCGTGGTGCATGCATGGTGCATGCATGGTGCATGCATGTGCATGCGTGGTGCATGCATGGTGCATGCGTGGTGCATGCATGGTGCATGCGTGGTGCATGCATGGTGCATGCGTGGTGCATGCATGGTGCATGCGTGGTGCATGCATGGTGCATGCGTGGTGCATGCATGGTGCATGCATGGTGCATGCGTGGTGCATGCATGGTGCATGCGTGGTGCATGCGTGGTGCATGCATGCTGCATGCGTGGTGCATGCATGGTGCATGCGTGGTGCATGCATGGTGCATGCGTGGTGCGTGCATGCATGGTGCATGCATGGTGCATGCATGGTGCATGCGTGGTGCATGCATGGTGCATGCGTGGTGCATGCGTGGTGCATGCATGCTGCATGCATGGTGGATACAGCAGTGAAGTGCATGTGTGTGCTGGCTATCAGGGCTGTGTGCAGACCTGCTTCCATTCCACCCATTGCCAGTCATGTGCCCAAACCGTGCATCGCAGCTCTCTCACCCCACCACCTCCCCACTCTCACCCGGCCACCTCCCCACTCTCACCCCGCCACCTCCCTATGATGGATTTGACGCTAAGAACCCCAAGCGCCAGGCGTCAAAATGCGTCGTTTTGACGCTTGACGCGTCAAAACCTGAAAACGCTTGACGCTTAGTGTAGAAATTTCATGGCTCCTTCCTGCTCAACCACGCCTCTGACCTGCAACACATGGTGCGCTGCTGCATGCATGCATGCATGCAACAGCAAAGTGCAAGTGCTTGCTAGCTACCTGGGCTGTTTGCACACCCGCTTCCATTTCGGCCACTGCTTATTTTGTGGTCTTACTGTGACTCGCAGCACTCTCACCCCGCCATCTTCCCACTCTCACCCCGCCATCTTCCCACTCTCACCCCGCCTTCTTCCCACTCTCACCCCGCCATCTTCCCACTATCATCCTGCCACTTCCCCACCTTCTGCCGTGTGTACCATGCCCCACCTTCTGCCGTGTGTACCATGCCCCACCTTCTGCCGTGTGTACCATGCCCCACCTTCTGCCGTGTGTACCATGCCCCACCTTCTGCCGTGTGTACCATGCCCCACCTTCTGCCCTATGTACCATGCCCCACCACCGTCGCCCCTGTGTTACTTGTCTCTGCTCACTTCCCGCCAACCCCCCTTCACCCCACACCTTGACGCACATCTCTCCTCTCACACTGCGCCTCACCACCCTCCTCGCCCTGCCCCCTCTCTCTCCCCCATCAGGTGCTGCGCTACCCGCTCTTCACCGCGCTGCGCGTGGTTTTCATGGCGGGCCCGCGCCTGCTGGGCGTGCTCGCGCTCTTCTCGCGCCTCTCCGCCTCACGCCCCATCCCGCCGCCCCTCTGGGCCTTTGCGCCCTGGAAGGGCCGCGACGTGCACCGCAGCAGCCAAGAGGTGCGGCAGGGGTGACGGGTGTGCGGGTGCATGGGGCAGAATGGGAGGGTGTGGGGGGGGGGAGAATGGGAGAGGTCATGGGCGCATCGCATGAAGGTGGAGGAGGTGTTGGCGTGTGAGGGGCGCATGGGAGGGGCGCATGGGAGGGGCGCATGGGAGGGGCGCATGGGAGGGGCGCATGGGAGGGGCGCATGGGAGGGGCGCATGGGAGGGGCGCATGGGAGGGGCGCATGGGAGGGGCGCATGGGAGGGGCGCATGGGAGGGGCGCATGGGAGGGGCGCATGGGAGGGGCGCATGGGAGGGGCACATGGGAGGGGCGCATGGGAGGGGCGCATGGGAGGGGCGCATGGGAGGGGCGCATGGGAGGGGCGCATGGGAGGGGCACATGGGAGGGGCGCATGGGAGGGGCGCATGGGAGGGGCGCATGGGAGGGGCGCATGGGAGGGGCGCATGGGAGGGGCGCATGGGAGGGGCGCATGGGAGGGGCGCATGGGAGGGGCGCATGGGAGGGGCGCATGGGAGGGGCGCATGGGAGGGGCGCATGGGAGGGGCGCACAAGTGGTTTTGAAGTGGACACGGGGATGCACGAGACAAGCAGCTGTGAAACAACCTGGCAGGCGTCCTGTGCATGGGCTCACGTGTGTTGGCGTCCTGTGCACGGGTTCACGTGTCTTGGTTGTTACGGACCTGCATGTGCCTCTCATTCTGCCTCTCATACTGCCACACATGCCACGCTTCTTGTCTTTAATGTTTATTGCATGGGGCATGATTGTGCATATACATGTGGCATGCATGCGGAACACATGCGTGTTTCACCCACGCAGGTATTGGAAGATGCGGAGAAGCTGCGGCAGCAGGGCATACCGGGGTCGGTGATTCTGATAGACAGCCCGTGGGAGACGAGCTACAACGACTTCACCATGAACCGGCACCAGTTTCAGGATCCCCAAACGCTCTTCTCCAAGCTGCATGCCCTCGGGTGCGCTGTGCTGCTGGGTGCGGTGTGCTGCTGGGTGCGGTGCTGTGCTGTGTGGACGTGTGGCTGTTAGCATGGTGCGCACATTCACATTATCCTCTCACTCTGCTCATCATCCCTATCTTCATCGTCCTTCTCCCATCTTCTCGCCCCTCTCCCCTCGCCCCTCTCCCCTGCCCCTCACCGCTCGCCCCTCGCTGCTCGCCCCTTGCAGCTTCCGGGTGGTGTTCTGGGCGACGCCGTTCATCAATCTGGTCAACCGGGTGGACATGCGTGGCATCACGCCCACCGCCGCGCCCAACTACCATGAGGCGGCGCAGCAAGGCTTCCTCGTGCGCAACGCCACGGGGCACCCGCAGGTGGTGCGCTGGTGGAAGGGGCGCGGGGCGCGCGTGGACTTGAGCAACGCGGAGGCGGAGCGGTGGTGGCGCGGGCAGATGGGGAAGATGCTGCAGTGGGAGGAGGTGTTTGGGGGCGTCAAGGCCGACGACGGCGAGGGCGCGTACTTTGAGGCGGGCGCCGTGTTCCATGATGGCACGCCTCTGGAGCTCATGCGCAACAAGGTGAGCTCATGCGCAACAAGGTGAGCTCATGCGCAACAAGGTGAGCTCATGCGCTACAAGGTGAGCTCATGCGCAAACCTCAAGGTGAGCTCATGCGCAACAAGGTGAGCTCATGCGCAACAAGGTGAGCTTATGCGCAACAAGGTGAGCTCATGCGCAACAAGGTGAGCTCATGCGCAACAAGGTGAGCTCATGCGCAACAAGGTGAGCTCATGCGCAACAAGGTGAGCTCATGCGCAACAAGGTGAGCTCATGCGCAACAAGGTGAGCTCATGCGCAACAAGGTGAGCTCATGCGCAACTAGGTGAGCTCATGCGCAACAAGGTGAGCTCATGCGCAACAAGGTGAGCTCATGCGCAACAAGGTGAGCTCATGTGCAACAAGGTGAGCTTTGCATGTGCGCATGGGTGTTTGGTGTCCTCCAACTAGCACGTCTTGTCCACCACACCCCATGCATACTTCAATCTCCTCTTCTTCGTGCTGTCTCGACCGTGCCAATGCATCTGCCCCTCTGCCCTCTGCCTCTCATACTGCCGCTCACTTTCCACCCTCTCACGCTCGCTCGCTCTGTATCTCCATGTGCCTCGCCTTGCCACCTCGCCTTGCCACCTCGCCTTGCCACCTAATCCATGACCTGCCCCCATGGCAGACGTGCAGCTGTAGAGCAACAAAGTGACCTCCCTCCGCATGCTGCATGGTTGCTTGTTTGAACGTGTGTTTTCTATCCTCCTACTAGCACATCTTGTCCAGCACACCCCAACCATCCTTCCATCTCGCCTGTGCCAATGCCTCTCGCCCCAACCAACCACCCTTTGCTCTCTGCCTCTGCCACCAACTGTGCTGCCACCAACTGTGCATCCTCTCACGTGCATCCTCTCACGTGCATCCTCTCACGTGCATCCTCTCACGTGCATCCTCTCACGTGCATCCTCTCACGTGCATCCTCTCACGTGCATCCTCTCACGTGCATCCTCTCACGTGCATCCTCTCACGTGCATCCTCTCACGTGCATCCTCTCACGTGCATCCTCTCACGTGCATCCTCTCACGTGCATCCTCTCACGTGCATCCTCTCACGTGCATCCTCTCACATGCATCCTCTCACGTCCATCCTCTCACGTGCATCCTCTCACGTGCATCCTCTCACGTGCATCCTCTCACGTGCACCCTCTCACGTGCATCCTCTCACGTGCATCCTCTCACGTGCATCCTCTCACGTGCATCCTCTCACGTGCATCCTCTCACGTGCATCCTCTCACGTGCATCCTCTCACGTGCATCCTCTCACGTGCATCCTCTCACGTGCATCCTCTCACGTGCATCCTCTCACGTGCATCCTCTCACGTGCACCCTCTCACGTGCATCCTCTCACGTGCATCCTCTCACGTGCATCCTCTCACGTGCATCCTCTCACGTGCATCCTCTCACGTGCATCCTCTCACGTGCATCCTCTCACGTGCATCCTCTCACGTGCATCCTCTCACGTGCATCCTCTCACGTGCACCCCATGTGTCCATGTGCCTTGCCTCGCTACCCTGCCGCCTTGCCACACCATCTCCATGCACCCACCTTGGCTTGGCTTTCTCTTGCCTTACCTAGCCACCGTCCCCACCCCTCGCGCACCCACGCAGTACATACAGCTGTACCTGGCCAGCATGCAGCGCTTCATCAATGAGAGCGTGGGGGCCACTCAGGGTGTTGTTCTCGCCCGCTCTGCCTTCACAGGCACCGCCAGGTGATTCCCACCCCACCCTGCCAGGTGATTCCCACCCCACCCTGCCAGGTGATTCCCACCCCACCCTGCCAGGTGATTCGAAATGATTCCTTTGCCACCATCCACGTCTCCATCCATGTTGCCTTGTGCTCCCACCACCCCCTCAACCGCCTTGTGCTCCCACCACCCCCTCAACCGCCTTGTGCTCCCACCACCCCCTCAACCGCCTTGTGGCACATGGGCAGTGAAGTGTGCCCCTCCTCCCCTCCCCATCCTCACCTCACCTCTGCTGCCTCACCTGCACTCCATGTACTTTCACCGCCTCACCTGCACTCCATGTACTTTCACCGCCTCACCTGCACTCCATGTACTTTCACCGCCTCTGCATGCTGCCTGTTGCCGTCGCCTTCACCACGCCCGTCACATCGCCACTATACTCGGTCGTTTCCCAACTCCTCTCAACCCCACCCCCCCCTGGGCAGCTCCTTTGTGTGGGCGGGCGACAACAGGGCGTCCTTCTCTCAGTCGGACGGGCTGCCATCGGTGGTGGTGGCGGGGCAGACAGCGGCGCTGTCAGCGCTCTTCCTGTGGGGCAGTGACATCGCGGGCTACCTGGGCAAGTCCATCCCGCGCAACGTCTTCATCCGCTGGACGCAGTTCGGGTCAGCCAGCCGCCTCACCCACCTCCGCTTAAAAACACCTTTGTTAACGTCTTCTGCTCCTCTGTTCCCCCACACGCCGACCGTTTCTTGTCCCTCTTTGCCCCACCTGCCAGCATCCTGTCCCTCACTCACCAAGTTGCTGCTGCCTTCCATTCTTCCCTCGCCCCACGCCTAACCTGTCTTGTCCGCCCCACGCCTAACCTGTCTTGTCCGCCCCACGCCTAACCTGTCTTGTCCGCCCCACGCCTAACCTGTCTTGTCCGCCCCACGCCTAACCTGTCTTGTCCGCCCCACGCCTAACCTGTCTTGTCCGCCCCACGCCTAACCTGTCTTGTCCGCCCCCCCTCCCTGCCAGCGCGCCCCCCCTCCCTGCCAGCGCGCCCCCCCTCCCTGCCAGCGCGCCCCCCCTCCCTGCCAGCGCGCCCCCCCTCCCTGCCAGCGCGCCCCCCCTACCTGCCAGCGCGCCCCCCCTCCCTGCCAGCGCGCTGTCTCCGCGGATGCACTGGTTCGCCCGCCACCAACCTCTTGTCCCTTCGCCGCTCTCTCTTCCCCACCCTCCTCCTCTCCCCCATCCCCTTGCCCAGCGCCCTGTCCCCGTTAATGCATCAGTTCGGGCAGGCGAACCTGACAACTTATTCCCCCCCATCCGACCCCTCTTCTGTCTTGCCTCTTCCCCCCCCTTTCCCTTTCTGCCAGAGCGCTGTCCCCGCTGATGCATCAGTTCGGGCAGGCCAACAACGGCCCGTGGGACTACGATGCCGTCACGCTGCGCATCTACCGCCGCTTCGCCCGCCTGCACACTGCCCTCGCGCCGTACCTGCTGCGCGCGGCACGCCTGGCATCCAGCGAGGGGCAGCCGGTGATGTGCCCGATGGCGCTGTGTGCGCAGGGGGATGAGGGCTCGGAGAGTGGGCGGTGGGAGGGGCAGTACCTGCTGGGGGGCGACCTGCTGGTGGCACCCGTGGTGAACGAGACCAACCGCGTGCAGGTGAGGCTTCTTGCACTGCCTGCAACACCACTTCATGCTCTGCCGTGCAGGTGAGGCGTGCAGGTGAGGCGTGCAGGTGAGGCGTGCAGATGAGGCGTGCCTTGACTTGCTTTGCCTTCCCCCAGACTACGGTGTGCGAGGCACAGCATCATGCATGCAGATAGTGCATCATGCATGCAGATAGTGCATCATGCATGCAGATAGTGCATCATGCATGCAGATAGTGCATGCTTCATTCACCCACATATAGTCTCCTCTTCATGCAGCTGCTACGGCAGGTGCTACAGCAGGTGCAAGTTGACACGGCCTTTCTGACTTGACTCCATTTCTTCGTATTCCTTCGCTCCCTCTTGCCTCCCTTCCCCCCGTTCACACCCCCTACACCACACGCCTCATTACCACCACCCACGCCACCCCTCACGGCACCCGTGACGGCACCCGAGACGGCACCACGGCACAGGTGTTCTTCCCGGCGTCCACCCCATACTGGCGCCATCTGTTGTCGGGGCGGCGGTACAGCGGCGGGCAGGTGGCAGCGGTGGCGGTGCCACTGGAGGAGGCGGCGGTGTTTGTGAGGGAGGGCGCCGTGATGGAGGTGCTGCCGGATGACACCGACACTCTCGTGCCGTGTGGCGCGCACATCCTGCCATCGGTCAAGTGCATGCCCAGGTCAGTCCGCCCTCCTCCCATGCCCACGTCAGTGAGCCCTCCTCCCGTGCCCGGAGCAGGCGCATCTGTTGTTATGCTGCATTGTGACTGTGCCCAGGTGGGTGACTGTGCCCAGGTGGGTGACTGTGCCCAGGTGGGTGACTGTGCCCAGGTGGGTGACTGTGCCCAGGTGGGTGACTGTGCCCAGGTGGGTGACTGTGCCCAGGTGGGTGACTGTGCCCAGGTGGGTGACTGTGCCCAGGTGGGTGACTGCATTGACTGGCAGCACGCCAGTGCGGTGTAGCCAGCCCGTGATGGAGTTGCTGCCTCACCACACGGACACGCTCGTGCCCTGTGGCGCTCACGTCCTCGTGCCCTGTGGCGCTCACGTCCTCGCCTCCGTCAATGCATGCCCAGGTCAGGCTCGTTTCTTGCCCACGTGCGCCCTCCCATGCCGAGGTGCGCCCTCCCATGCCGAGGTGCGCCCTCCCATGCCCAGGTGCGCCCTCCCATGCCCAGGTGCGCCCTCCCATGCCCAGGTGCGCCCTCCCATGCCCAGGTGCGCCCTCCCATGCCCAGGTGCGCCCTCCCATGCCCAGGTGCGCCCTCCCATGCCCAGGTGCGCCCTCCCATGCCGAGGTGCGCCCTCCCATGCCCAGGTGCGCCCTCCCATGCCTAGGTGCGCCCTCCCATTGGTTACCGTGCTGCATTGTGGGGCGCAGATGATTCATGCAGATTTGTACCACTCCCGAGCACAGGTCGAATTTGAGGGGCACTTGGTATCCATGTGCTGTGTTGCACTGCGGCGTGTATGCCTCATGCCACACCACTGTGCCTCTGCACCCTCTTGCCCTTTACCCCTGCCAGCCATCGCACCATCCAGCTGTGGCCGGGTGGGGCGGGCAGCACGGAGCTGTGTGTGCTGCTGCGCGTGTCCCACCACTACGAGGGCACCGTCACTCCTGCCTCCCAGGGACTGGCGGGCGGCACTGCCGGGTCTGGCAGCAGCGTGGGCGAGGGCAGTGGCGACAGCCGTGCTGCCCACAGCGGTAGCAGCAGCAGTTCTACAAGTGGTGGCACCGGTGGTGGGAAGATGGGCATCGAGTTAGTAGAGGGAGAGCGCAGTGCAGGTGGCAGCTTGGCAGGTGGGGAAGGTGGAGAAGAGGGAGATGCGGAGGCGGAGGGGGGTGGGGGGCTGCAGGGTGGGGGTGATGGTGATGCGGCGAGGGGCGAGGGTGAGGGGGTGGAGGATCTGCCTCAGATGGACGCTGCGCAGGAGGACGAGGGGGGAGGGGGCGGTGCAGGAGGCGAGGGCAAGGAGGAGAGCGATGTGGGAGTGAGACGGGCGAGGAGACTGCTGGGAATGAGAGAGGGTGCTGTGCAGGGGGTTGAGGCGGGTGTGCTGCGCTTGCGGAGCCAGCAGCAGCAAGGGGGGGCGAGGGGCGAGAGTGGGGGCAGGCGAGTGGTGGAGGTTGCATGGGGGGGTACGGCGCGCAGGGAGGTGCATGTGATGCTCATGTTCGAGCGCGTCCCACACGTCACTCTCACACTGCTGCCGCCCGCTGGTGCCGCTGCTGACAGCACACAGGAGGCCCGGCGTGTGCCGTGTGAGAGTGCTGAGAGCCTGGACAGGCCGCTGTCTCTGTGTCGTCTGCACCTAGAAAAGGGAATTACACGGATAGTTTATCCTGTGTGAGATACTGTGATATGCTTATCATCCTTCCCCAGATGTGTGTACAGCACGGCTTAGGTACGTTTCACTAAATAGTACTTTGATGTTTCCAAATCCAAATGAAGTGAAGCAACACATCCAGGCAAAATGTGCAGTGTTTGCTGATAAGAATTAAAAAACAAGCTGAAGACAGTCGTTTTCGGTACAAAGAAACTCGACAATGGACACTGGGGTACATACAATACCCGTGCAAAAGACAACCGGTACATACAATGCGGTGGAAAGATTTGCTTTTTAGGTGTAATGCGGTGAAGAGTGGTACGCTGCCTTTGTGACGCCTTAAAGCCAGCAGGCAAAATAGTGACCCCCCCCTTCTAGTTGGGTCCAACTTGAATCAGCTGGTAAGCACAAGTTAGAAATATATCGAACTTCCACAGCAACCGAGCAGGGCTGGTGTACCCAAACGTTTGAACAGGAATTACGACCAATCAAGAGCATCGCCCCAATGTGCAGAGACACAAACATGCCCATATGGTTTTCGCACAGTAGAGCGCTGGTGTTCCGCCGCTCTCGATTAAAAAAACTGACCTACTAGTCGACGATTCCTAGAGCGAAACAACACAAACTGGACACGCCCTACCAAAACACTACGCAAACTCGTCACGCCAAGCACACGACTCGATGGTCTCACTCTCATATCGCCAACACCCAGCCGCCTCCCTTCCGAACGCTCCCGTTCACAGCTAATAACGTAAATTCGTCCACCATCGGAAGCAAAGTAGGCGTCCACCAGCTTCAAACGATTTTAGGGTCTGACGCGGAGCGCGCCTGCTGCCGCAGCGGGATCGCCTATACCCCCGCTAGGTGACCGACTCTTCAGCTATTGTACGCATTGCAAGAATACTACAGGGAGACATGACATCGACGTGCAGGAGTTAGGTCGACCAAATAGCGGAGCTCCATCGCCGCTACAGACCTTCACGACAGTAACCTTCGCCAGTGATTGCAACTCTTGCTATCTGGAGCAGCTGGGAGACCGGGTAAGCCAAGGAGACCGGGAGATGGGCGGCAGTCGAGCGAAATGCTGCCCGTCTCTGTCTGACGGGCAGCATTCGCGCGCATGGCGGAATGCGCCTGTCTGACGGGCAGGTTATGCGCGAAATGCTCAGCGGGCGCGCGAAATGCTGTCTGTCTGACGGGCAGCATTCGCGCGCATGGCGGAATGCGCCTGTCTGACAGGTAGCAGGCGCAAAATGCTCCCGCTAAAGCGCGAAACGCTTCCCGTCACTGTCTGACGTGCTGCATGCGCGCGCAGGGCGGAGTGCGGCCGTCTGACGGGCAGCAGGCGCGCGAAATGCTCAGCGGGCGCGCGAAGTGCTGCCCGTCAGACTGCCGGGTGGCATTCGCACGAAATGCACAACCACGTCAGTCTGACGGGCAGCATTCGCGCGAAATGCACAACCACGTCAGTCTGACGGGCAGCATTCGCGCGAAATGCACAACCACGTCAGTCTGACGGGCAGCATTCGCGCGAAATGCACAACCACGTCAGTCTGACGGGCAGCATTCGCGCGAAATGCACAACCACGTCAGTCTGACGGGCAGCATTCGCGCGAAATGCACAACCACGTCAGTCTGACGGGCAGCATTCGCGCGAAATGCACAACCACGTCAGTCTGACGGGCAGCATTCGCGCGAAATGCACAACCACGTCAGTCTGACGGGCAGCATTCGTGCATTCGCACGTCCGCACCCCCATTCCCTGTCCCCTTATTCCCTGCTCCCCCATTCCCTTCTCCCCCATTCCTGCTCCCCCATTCCCCGCCACCCCATTCCCTGTCCCCCGATCCCTCGTCCCCCCATTCCCTCTTCCCCCATTCCCCGCTCCCCCATTCCCTGTCCCCCAATCGCCTGCCCCCCCATCCCCTGTTCCCCCATTCCCTGCTCACCCATTCCCTCCTCCCCCATTACCACCTTCCCAATTCCGTGTTCCCCGGTTCCCTGTCCCCCATTCCCTGTCCCCCCATGCTCTGTACCCCCATTCCCTGTTCCCCCATTCCCTGTTCCCCCATTCCCTGTTCCCCCATTCCCTGTTCCCCCATTCCCTGTTCCCCCATTCCCTGTTCCCCGGATTCTCCGTCCCCCCATTCTCTGTCCCCCCATTCCCTGCCCCCCCATTCCCTGCTCCCCCATTCCCAATTCTCCCATTCCCTGTTCCCCCATTCCATGTCCCCCAATTCTCCGTCCCCCCATTCCCTGTTCCCCCATTCCCTGTCCCCCGATTCCCTGCTCCCCCATTCCCTGCTCTCCCATTCCCTGTTTCCCTTTTGAGCCGCTCCCCCAATCCCTGTCCCCCAAATGCCTGCCCCCCCATTTCCCTGTTCCCTCATTCCCCCCTTCCCCATTCCATGTTCCCCCCATTCCCTGTCCCCCCATTCCCTGCTCCCCCATTCCCTGTCCCCCCGATTCCCCGTCCCCCCATTCCCTGTTCCCCCATTCCCTGTTCCCCCATTCCCTGCTCCCCCATTCCCTGCTCCCCCATTCCCTGCTCCCCCATCCCCTGTTCCCCCATTTCCTGTTCCCTCATTCCCTCTACCCCGGATTCTCCATCCCCCCATTCCCTGTTCCCCCATTCCCTGTTCCCCCATTCCCTGATCCCCCATTCCCTGTTCCCCCATTCCCTGATCCCCCATTCCCTGCTCCCCCATCCCCCGCTCCCCCATTCCCTGCTCCCCCATTCCATGTCCCCCGTTTCCATGTCCCCCCATTCCCTGAGTGGGAAATCCCTGTTCCCCCATTCCCATGTTGTACCCACATTCCCCGTCCCCAAATTCCCCTCTCCCCCATTCCCCTCTCCACCATTCCCTGCTCCCCCATTCCCTGCTCCCCCATTCCCTGCTCCCCCATTCCCTGCTCCCCACCTGTTCCCCCGTTCCCTGTCCCCCATTCCATGTTCCCCCATTCCCCGTTCCCCCATTCTCTGCTCCCCCATTCCCTGCTCCCCCATTCCCTGCTCCCCCATTCCCTGCTCCCCACCTGTTCCCCCGTTCCCTGTCCCCCATTCCATGTTCCCCCATTCCCCGTTCCCCCATTCTCTGCTCCCCCATTCCCTGCTCCCCCATTCCGCCCTCCCCCATTCCCTAATTCCCCATCCCCTGATCCCCCATTCCCTGATCCCTCACTCCAGGTACGCAATAGAATATCACCTTCTATCCAGCGTTTATGCATTGTTATGCTGCCCGATTCATTCTTCTGAAATCACTCTCACCTCCCACACCAAACCCCCAGTTGCCTGTAGGAACCCCACTAAGATCACTCTCACCTCCTCAACTGACAGCGGTGGGGCTATAAGCTACGTTGGTGACAATTACACGAGCCTTAGTCGTTCTCCCACTGCATCCTTTCTCATTCACTCACTGCTGCCATGTTCCCCCAGGTCCTGCTCCCCCAACCCCTGTTCCCCCATCCCCTGTTCCTCGGATTCCCGGTCCCCCCATTCCCTGTCCCCCGATTCCCTGTCCCCAGATTCCCTGTCCCCAGATTCCCTGATTCCCCGTTCCCTGTTCCCCGTTTCCCTGTTCCCCCATTCCCCGCTCCCGCATTCCCTGTCCCCCGTTTCCCTGTCCTCCCATTTCCTGAGTGGGAAATCCCTGCTCCCCCATTCCTTTCTCTTCCATTCCCTGTCCCCCAATTCCCCCCTCCCCCATTCCCTGATCCCCCATTTCCTTACAGGGAAATCCCTGCTCCCCCATTCCCTGCTCCCCCATTCCCTCTCCCCACAATCTCTGCTCGCCCATTCCCCGTTCCCCCATTCCCTGTTCCCCATCCCCTGTTCCCCCATCCCCTGCTCCCGCATTCCCTGTTCCCCCATTCACTGTTCCCCCATTCCCTGTCCCCCCATTCCATCTTCCCCCATTCCCTGTCCCCCCATTCCCTGCCCCCCCATTCCATGTTCTCCCATGCCCTGTCCCCCCATTCCATGTTCCCCCGCGCCCTGTCCCCCCATTCCATGTTCCCCTACGCCCTGTCCCCCCATTCCATGTTCCCCCATGCTCTGCCCCCCCATTCCATGTTCCCCAATGCCCTGTCCCATACACTGCTACAGTCATATTTCACCATGTGCTGCCTTCTGACTACAGTCAATGCTGCCATTCCTTTATGCTCACAGCTGCTGTTACACTACGCTCACTGCCACCGGTTCATTACTCTTACTGCTGCCTATGCATGTAAAGCTCTGTGGCCATTGTGTTCCACACACTGCAAACATTGAATTTCACTATGTGCTGCCATTCCTGGGTCCTCTCTGCTGTCATTCGTTGAATCTATCAGCAGCCATTCTATTGCACCTCCTGCTGCCATCCCATGACACTGTTGCCATTCTCAAACATTCACTGAACCTATAAAGTGAGTGAAATGGGTTTGCTGCCACTCCATGACAAGCCGTTATACCACACCAGTAGCTATATGTATCCATGCCTTGTGTGCAGGACCGGGTGACCCACCAGTGCGCAGACCATTCATGCCGCCCCGAAAACAGCTTTGGAGCCTCCCAAACAGTTAGTATTTCAAGAGGTACTGTTTACACAATCCACCCTGGAACACACATATGACTCACTGAGTTCCCTCAGATGCTCATTGGGTCCTCTCGCTCATAGCCTACTAGCCTCCATTTCACTCAAATAATACCCACCGACCCATATGTTACTCACCGACTACTCGCATGCCTACCCTCCATCCTACCGACCAACCTACCCACCAGCATACCCTCCAGCCTACCCAGCAACCAACCCACCAGCCTACACTCCAGCCTACCCACCAACTTACCCTCCAGCCTACCCTCCAGCCTACCCTCTAGCCTACCCTCCAGCCTACCCTCCAGCCTACCCTCCAGCCCACCCCATCCTATCCTCCAGTCTACCTACCAGCCTACCCTCCAGCCTACCCTCCAGCCTACCCTCCAGCCTACCCTCCAGCCCACCCCATCCTATCCTCCAGTCTACCCATCAGCCTACCCTCCAGCCCAC